TTTGCATGTGTTTGAGGGAGGCCTCATCACCATCACTCCTATGGAAATGCGTAGCCCAGTACGCCATCTTCACACACACACACACACACACTGTACTAATTATGAAAGGAAATATTTTCTTTCTCAAATAAATCTTTATGATGCTCATAAGAACAGGTAAACAACAGGTAATGCACAACAAACAAGAGCCACAGTCATCGTGTTGATGAGTCGACCGTTCATCCTCCTCCTCGATTGTTCATGAATGTGTTTCATGAGGAAATCTCGTGCTAACAACACCTTCGCACGATCGCCTTTCCGTGCCAGCATGTCCAACAGAGTGACTGAATATGCCAAGGTCATCTCCAGGGCAACGACGTCGTTTGACGCATGACTCCATAAACCTTCCATGATGCCGCATATGCAACTTTCAAGTCGTTCAGCTTGTTCACGATCACCATCGCCAACAGTAAAGCTCGCAGCATACCTGAGAATGTCAGGTCTCTTCATAGCGACATGTTTAGCAGATGTCCACACGTGAAACAATGTCGAATCACGAACGAACAAATGGTCAATGGCAAAGGCATGACGAGTCTCCGAGCATTCACCTTCATCCTTTGCGTATGTTGCAAGAACATGGTCAGCAACTCGTACTAGCAGATGACACACCTGACATTCGTGAGTCTTGTGATCAGCCGATCCGTTAAGACTCTTTGCAACGTGAAACCATCTCTCGTAAAGGGAATTCATTTCCTAGAATGCGAAGACACGAGGCAACTGATCAATACTGTATCGGGTGAAGGAATGACTCGACTGCATGTCAAGCATGCATATTTATACAAGTCAGAATGGGGTGGGTTGAAAATGCAAAGTTGTCAACCAATCACCATCAAGCCCGCCAAAAACAGATGATGTAACCTTGACATGATTGATCTTGTCATGAATGACGCATTCATTGATGGTGTTCACATGAGATCACCCTGGTTCATCTTTCCCAATTCCATTCTTTTCACATCCTGCAACCCATTCTCCACTAGTAGTAGCAGTGGGGGTACTAGAGTCCGAAGAGGCAAGGCAGCACTCTTCCGTGGACGTACTACTCGACACAACACCACCCATACTTGTTCTTTAGAAGTTTTTTTTTTTTTTAATTTGTATCATGAGGTATTGACGTAGAAAGTAGTATAGGATAGTATAGGATAGAATAAGAATGAATGATCAGCTGTGTGATAAAGAAGGCAGTTCATTAAAGACTTCTTGGAAGGTCTCTACCAGCTGATCGTCTTGTTGGACGACGACACTGCATAATGATGTGAAGCTCTCAGTCAGCTGTTTCAGCTCCGTGATAGAAAGTGCCATGTGTGCGTCCAGAGCACGATGAAAACATCTGGGTTCCACGTTGATGCAGATGATTGGAGCAACAGCAAGACGTACCTTCATCACTTGCTCGTCAGTGTCGAGGGAGACTGCCCCGGGGTAGATGAATACATCTTGTTCCACATCCAGTTCAAACGAGCTGGTCGGGACTAGCTTGTTTTCACCGTTGATGTACACCCGACATTGACCGTCGGACGAACGTGATGTATAGAAGTTGGTTATGATCTTCTCCACACGTCCACTTCGGAGAGTGTCACGGAGCGATGGACAAGTCTTGATCAAGTTCGTAATGATGAACTCAGTGGACTCGTTCAGTTCGATGTAAACTTGTCCTTGAGCATCTTTGCGAGCTGTTGCCGTACTACCACAGGCTGGCAGAGCTCCCGAAGGGAAGTACATCTTATATCCAGGCTTGTAGAAGGATTTACCAGATAACTTGTAGGGCAGCTGCATGTCCTCCTGAAACCCATCCACCACAATCTCTTTGTGGAGCTTGGTAGGAGCAGGTGATGCATAGCGACGCTTAGCCGGTACTGGCTTCGAAGAGAGCACAACTCGAGGAGGGTCAGCAGAAAGAGCGGAATTCTTCTTCATCCTTCGCTCGTATAGGGAAGCCATCTTCTAGGAAGTGAAGTCAGGACAACTCGTCAGCACTGTATTCGATGAACGAATGACTCAACTGCAGACAATCATTCGTTTATACGAGCCAGAGAGGTATGTGGATTGAAATGATAAGATATGTGTCAACCAATCAAGCCCGCCAAAAACATTTCACCAATCAGCATCAAGCCCGCCAAAAACATTTGACCAATCAGCATCGTGCCCGCCAAAATCATATCTCATTATAAAGATTCCTTACATGATACCGCCACCTTGGTGAATTGATACAGTATGGAAAGAAGATCACAGTCAAACGTGTGCATGTTCTGGATCACGTGATCAAGTGAATAGATTTCCCAGCAATAAGCATCAATCAATGATGTCATAAGAGATATATCAGATTGAGATAAAAGCAGCAAATTCGAACGCAACATGGACAATTGCAATGAAGACACCATCCTAGTCGACTCCATGAGATGCAGTACGTATAGGAGTGGAAAATGCCGAGGAAGAGGTTTCATGATTCGACTGAACCTCAACCAGGCTACATTGCTATGAGGTAAGTAGGAATACAGTTTACGTAATGCATCCACATTCGTATCGTATACTATACAGGATAATGCTATAGCATAATTTATACTCTTGTACAAACAGGACTTCTTCATCGCACGTATCTGCTCTCGAAGAGGGTGTACACGAAGCTGATCGGATAAGAGTTCAGTTTTCGAAAGAAAATGCAAAAGATGACGATCCACACCACATAACCGCTCATGCGCAGCGTAAGGCTTCTTCATCAAACTACATCTCTGATGCACATCAACTTCAGGTAAGTAAACCACATCCATGACAAGTCCACAAGAAGAACATACGTATCTTCCTTCATGAACAACATGATCAAGATGATGACACTGCTTTTCCTTCCCTTCTTGCTCTTCTTCTTCTTCTCCTCCTTCTTGTTCTTCTTCTTCTTCTTGTTCTTCTTCTTCTTCACGAAGTCTCTTTTCACGTACATAGGCACGTAAGATCTCTAATTCAGAATCCATCTTCACCCCACACCATCATCTTCATAGTGAAACATTATCCATCAATATATCTACTTTTATACCCACTCCTATCCGGGGATAATAGCAAAATACTCCTGAAAAAATAAATAAAAAATGAACAGAATAAAGATTAACAATGACGATAAGTGTGCCTTATTCAACCCAAAGGTCAAAGGTCAAACCCTGGGGGAGTCCCGGGGTCAGACCAAGCACGACCGACACAGTGTGCCTTATTTGACCCAAAGGTCAAAGCAATAGAAGAAAGGTATTCACATCTCAATCTGATATCATAGTCGAAAGATTCCAAACCCGAACAAAAAAGACTCACCATGACGGGGGCGTCTTTCCGCTTTCGAAACACATCGTGTTCTCCAAGGTCGTCACCTCCCCGTGGCGTGACCCCTTGGTCTTGTTTGAGACGTCTAGACGTAGCCTTGTTTACAAAGGTCATCGCGGCGTGAACTTTGACCTCGAGGTGAAGTAGTCTCAACCTGCAGTTTCATTATCGACTCCTTCTTGCAGTGTGAAGAAGCTAAAATGGCGTGGACATTTTCTGAGACGTGCAGAGCAGAGAAATGGTATTTATTTTCATGCGATAATGAAGAGTTCTCAATCCGTCGCCTCAGTGCTAGCAAGACAACCAGGGATCTTGACCCGATGATAGCACATCCCAGAAGATTCGATATGTCACCACTCACTGCTGCTGAGTATATTATCTGCAGGGTCACCAGCCTGATCTTGAATGTGAAGAATAGGAAACAGCACCTTCCTAAAATCGTCATCGGTGGTGTGGAGGACTACGGAACTATTAGTGAGACTGATGATGGTGTCATACTGCGAAGGTGGACTGATGGTAGACACTCATTCTACAAGCTTAGTGACATGCGTGACGAACCGTGCTCTCAACACATCATCGACCTCTTCGCTGATGCAACCTATTTGGATTCCAGCGACGTAATGCAACTTGTCAAGGAGGTGAACGAAAAATGAAGTCTCTCGAGTTGATCGTGTGCGTGTACGACGTAGTACCAAGGCCGTTCAACTCCGTGCCGTTGCAACAAGAGTAACGCGGATTCGTGTGCGAGTTGGTACGATCGACATCGGCGACGATGGATTTATCTCCAAATTACCCGAGTCGACTGTTGACACGATGGCGGTGCAAAGGAGGTCGTCGACTGACAGTTCCATTGCTGACTGGGTGGAACCATTGGTGCACATCAGAGCGTCCGACAACTCCATCTCGTACTGCGTGTCACGGAAGAGATCATGGGTGAATCCATCCTCACACGTATTAGAAGAGTAAACTTTGTGGTCTCTCATCCAATACCAGCTTGATGAAATCAGGACAACAAGAACTGAATTGTACTACCTTTCTCCTCCACTCCATTGCGATATTCACTGTTCGTTCCATTATTCTTTGTAATGACATGTATCGTATCTATCAAGAACTGACCTTTCTGACGTGTGTGCGAGCAGGACCATTTTTGAAAAATTGCATGGGGAGGTGGGGTAGGTCACGGAAAAAACTTCATGATAAACACCATATTCAACATTCTACTTTTTATACCCACTCCCATCCGGGGCAAGGTGGCCCAAAAAAGTGAGATTCAAACCCACATGTGCACAACACATATTTTCAATAATACCCCATTTTTTGGGGTCAGGGCACCCCCTGGCACATATTTTTATCCGCAAAAAAACCGGGCCAAAAATAATTTTCACCGCAAAAATGGGGTACTATTAGTACCCCATTTTTCAATAATACCCCATTTTTTGGGACCCGGGCGCCCCCTGGCCCAGAACCCGCTCGTACATTCCTACTAACAAGCTATAACACAATCATGTACATGTACATGCATTCATTGCTAGAGCAGGAGACTTGTGCTTTACTTTCTGTACATTTGGTGAAGATCATGCCAGATCACATCCATAATGAGGTGCTCGCACCGTGATGGGCAGTGAGATGATCTCAGCCAATGCGACCATGCACTAAAAGCCTACCTCTTCTCCTTTGGTGTCGTCCCAGCGGCCAAACACAGAGTTGGCTGCCGCTAAGACTGAACAACGGCTGTTAAGCGTTGTAGTGATTCCAGCCTGCCAGAGAAGGGACGGGAACAAGCAGTAGCAAAAGAGCCAGTGTGAGATCTATCACAGGAGATCAGCTAATAAAAAGCAAGCGCAAGCTAGAAACCAACACAGACATCAAAACAGTACAAAGTGCAGTGGACCTCGACAACCAGCGAACATACCTTGGCCAGAGAAATGGTTTGCTGCTCCATAGCTTCGTGAATGGCCACACGGTCGTCTTGTCTCATCTGCAAGCAAGAAGACACACAGACACATTGCAACAATCACCATTAGGAAAAGAGCAGTTTTAGCACAAAACAGACTCCGTCAGGAGAGAAACAACAGCAATTGTTTGCAGAAACCCTACAAATATCCACTCGGCAACATGCACACAAGGAGAAAACACCAACCGCTGCTTGCAGTGTATAGATACAAGACGACGAGGGAAGTGCACCAAGACCAAGAGCAGTAGAAAGTGCAGTTGATAAAGAGATCCTACCTTGTCAAACTCATCAATACACACAACACCACCGTCGGCCAGTACCATGGCACCACCCTCCACAACAAAGTTGCGCTGCACAGAGCCAACAGTAACAGGCACACACACAGGTAGTAGTTAGTACAAGTAGACAAGCTGAACATAAAGGGGGCGAGAACCAAAAGCACACATTGCAGACTGCTGTAGGAACCAAGAAAAGTACCAATACATATGCCAGTGAAAGTGAGCTGACAAAGTATCTTTGGACAGCCAGGTTCGCATAACAGTAGATAACAATGTAGAACGAATCGACTAGGCGTTGGATTCACACCTGCAGTAGCCACAATCAGACATGCAGCGCAAATATTGACAAGAGCTTGCAAATATTGACAAGAGCTTGAGGCTTACAGTAGCTGGATCTCTCATGATGGATGCCGTCAGACCTGCTGCACTGCTTCCTTTGCCGGATGTGTAGACCTACACCAAAACAAAACACAGCAAGCAGAAAATATGCAAGGCAGTTCAAAGCCACAGGAAACTCTCAAACACTATAGTAGCATATCAGGACACGGAGACACATACGTCGTGACAGCACTATCGGCACTCTTCTTTCGTCGTAGCATAGATTACACTTTGAACCCTTTCGATCCATAAATGGCTGAAGGAGTACACTTTGATCTATACACGTCAGGAATTGATTTATCCGGGTTCGCATCGCAGTTTGCGAATCAAAATCGACCGGCTGCGATTCGCCTTTCGGTTTTTATCGCCCAAAACTGCGATGCACTTCTCGCAAATCGTCAACTGACTGTCGTAGATCTACACTGTACTGAGCGCCCCGGGCCGTGCATGCAACTGGCCAGTACAGGTACACACGCGCACTTCCAAGCAGGGAGTAGTAAAACATGTACTAGTAGTACTGGCACGATTCGTACTCCCTGCACCTGGCTGGGACCGTTTCGGCCGCGCGCGCGGCTCACGGATCGCTTGTTCGTGATTTTGGACACTGGAAAGTGACTGGGTAAGTACGAGTGTTGTCTTTTGAAGTTCCGGTAGGGGCTCTACTCGTGATCGTAGTCGTACATGTGCAATGTAGCGAAAATCTGGCGGTGTGCCACTCACAGTTACTAGTACGCGCCTTCCACTGGCTGAAGTTTTTTCTTCCTTCTTTCACTCTCTGTTCAGCTGTTTGTTTCTGTTTGACAAGTCAAGTAGATCGTTTTGTCAGCGTCTTGAATATCGAAAGCCGACATGTCAGTTAATCTGACTACTGTGCAGAAGTGGGTAAAGGAACTGGACTCGCTAGGAGAGTGGGTTCGTTTTGATGAGGAAAAAGGGAGAGTAACGCGAATATTCTGTGCGCTTTGTTCGAAGCATGAGAGCTATCCGCAACTTCAGTGTCTCCTTTGTTGACGGCATCAGAGGAACTGCCCTGAAGAAGGACAATGTTGTAAAGCACTCGCGTTCGGATATGCACTCCAAGGCGCTGAACATGGAGCGAGCCCCAACAAAAACCCTGACGCAGATTTTCAAGTCCACACCGCTTGGAAAAGCAATGGCAACTGCGTCTAGCGAGGAGCCGGTCAGGTTGGGCAAGCTGTTCGACGTTGCCTACATGATCGCTAAGGAGGAAATGCCATTCACAAAGTACCCTTGCATCGTGGAGCTTGAGAAACGCCACGGAGTATCGCTTGGTACTGCCTACAGCACAGACAGAAAGTGTAAAGAATGCACGTGCGTGATTGGCGATACGTTGAAGGACGATGTGGTTGCTGCAGTCCGGCGGTCGCGGTATTTGGGAGTGCTGATGGATGGCTACACGGATTCAAGCGTGGTGGAAAACGAGCTTATCTACGTCTTGATGGTGGATAGCAATGGCAAGCTGATCCGGAGCACCGTGTGTTCAGAGGCGTGAAGCTGAATCACTCAACAGATGCCGTGCTTCACGCATTCAATTATGGGTGTTCAAGGTATATTGACAGGCTTGACAACTGTGTGGCTAACCGGTTTGATGATATGGAGAAGGAAGATACCATGAAGCGCACCTCTCTTGGATAGCTGCTCCTGGCCTGCGGATAGCGCTGACCTTGAAGAGTTTGGTGCTGCTGACCTCACGGCAGTGGTTGAAAAGTTCAAGCCGTTGCTGGAAAAGAACAAAGTGTCGATCAGTTCCATCAGCAGCGAGTGGGTAGCTTTCAAGGCCTACTCCAAAGAGTCTCTTCGGCACTTGGATAACATATGGCAGCTTCTCCTCACATACTACCGGGAGACATTTCCAAACCTCTGCCATGTGATTGAGCTGCTGCTGGCGTTTCCAGTCAGCAATGCAAAAGTGGAGCGTGGATTCAGCACCATGCGGAGGATCAAGACTGATTGGCGGTCTCGGCTTTCAGAGCGACCAGATGCAATGCCGTATGGACCCCGTAAGAGAAAGCATGGTGAGGTGGAGCAACTGGATGTCTTCGACAGTGAGTAAACCCAGCAAACTTACCTTTGCCCATCACCCCTCACTGCTGAAACATCAGTTTTTTTGTACTTCCTCCGTATACAAAAACTTCGTGACTTTTTTTTGAAGGCTGCGCATAGCTCTGGAATTGTTCCGTTTGACTTGGAATAACACTCGTGGCATTGTCTAACCTGTTTACAAGCTATATACAAAGAAAAAAACAGCTCAGACGAATGAGAATGAGTTTATTCAGAGTCTTCGTCGCTCCTGTCATTGTCACCTGACGACGCTGACTCCGCATCGCCAAAAGTCGCTGCTTCGCTCGCATTTCATTCAGATTCTTTTCAGCTGCAATGATGATCCGACGCGGGACTTTGGCTAGCATACTCTTCATTTCCAGAGCTGTGTACGAATCGGTGTCGACTATATTCAGTCGTTCCAACCCGCGACCTCCATTATGCCGTGAAACGAGTCGCCCAAGCACATCCACACGCTTCGCATTTTCTCGGCAGGAGAATCCTCCCAGCATTCTACAACGGCTTCGACGAGGTCCCTGCGATTCCCCTCCTAGGCCAGAACGGAGACGTCTGACTGGAGTGGAGAGAGGAGAAGAAAGCCAGGTCGTCGACCTTCCGATCCGGAGTCTGCGCTGGTTGCACGACGACTGAAATGTTTCATCTTTCCGTGCGAGCGGAACCGATTTTATGTTCTCACGCTGCGTATGGGGCCGCGCACCGCAAGTACGAGCCTGGCCTGTTTCAAGGCAGCGAAAGCCGCGTGAGTCGTGACTCCGTGCTCCAGCAGGCGCGAGCTCCACTTCGTCACGGTGTCAGTTTCGAGCAAGTAAGTGTTAGTTTTTCTGTTATTTGACTCGTGAGTTCCTGTCGGCAACGTCCTCACACGCATGGCTTCCGTGGAGAATCTGTTCGAGATCAACCAAACCTACCTCAACATGAATGTGCGTTGTCGATGAGAGCCGTTGGCGCGGTTCGTTGAGCAGATTCTTGCTAAAAAACACCATTGAAAAAAAGTCACGAAGTTTTTGTATACGGAGGAAGTATAGTGTTTTGAATTGGGTTTCTTGGTTCTGGGGTTTTTCTCTTCTTTTCATTTTATTTCCGCCTTTGTTTCTTGCTTCTTCTTTCAGATGATCGGATCCCAGTGTTTTTCTTAACGCATGCATGTTTTGAGACTTAAAACATAAAACATGTATGCGAAAATAGAGACAACAAATTATGAAATCTCTTGATTGGCACGGCAATTTTAAATATCTAAAGTTACCCTCAGCAGCTGCACATCATTGGACAATTGTTATACATCTATTCTGTCACATCACGTGCCTACCAGCCTGTGATTACGCCTAGTAGACATTGCTGCTCTTTTCTGTACAAATTCTGAAATAAACATTGTAAATACTTGTGATATGGCTGGGAAATGGATGAAAAAAACTGCTAATCAATACTGGAAGTCGCTAACCAACTCTTAATTTGTGTAGCAGTGACTGCTACGCAAAAAAAAGGAAATCGATCCCTGCACGTTATTTCATCTTTGAATTAATTGAACAGGAGTTGGTACTAATGGACTGCTCATTAGCTTAGACGCACTCTTGCCCTTGGATTGCACCGTGGATAGTAAGTAACTCACTATGTTTGTACTTCGAAGTACTGTAGTTCAATATGCATTCTTTGACCTTCGATGGACTTGCATACCTCAGGCATGCGGGATTGCCCAATATTATGGTTAGCAGCTCAAAGCAACACATGTCAAGGCACTCACACCAACAGGAGCAACTTTTTCGACAAACTTCAACAGCTGACTCTTAGCAGTACCAGGATCACCGAGTAGCAGAAGGTTGATGTCCCCACGGCGAGTCAATCCATCAGGCAAACTAAACGCAACACATGCGAAAATTGATAATAAGCACACAAAGGACCAGTATAGTAGATGAGGGCTAACGTCTATTTTAAAAAAAGCCACAGATTGTCGGGGCGTCATAGAGCAAGAAAACACAATGGAGGGCCAGTGAATTCTATCCTGCTCAGCTGCTGGCAACGAGTACATATCCATGCCGGTCCAAGACAGCGCAAACATTTCCCTGCGGTACATCAGTCTGCAGCACTTGGCCACGACTCGTCAAAATAATCAAACTCGATCAGATCTACTCTCAACAGCGTACGTGTGAGAACAAGAAGAGGGGCCATACTCACCGTTTTCGAGAGCCGCCGAAGAGGAGAGCTGCAATGGCCTTCTTAATGTCTAAAAACAAAAACAAAACAGGATCATAGCACAGGACCACCGTATTTTCCGGGTGTGCGCTCTGTCACCTCAAGTGCTAAGTGAAATGAAAACTAACGTAAACTAGTATATGAAAAACGAACAAAGGACATCAAAGAGCATTCTACCAGATAAAATTAAGTCTATTGTAGGAAGTACGGTGGCACATGCTTTAGGAATACTCTGGTGAAACACGACCCTTGTGCTAACTGCTCACCCATGATGCCATTGGCTAAATAAGCATTCATGCATTGATAGTGACATGGATGAAATTATCCAGCGTAAACGGAACCAAACCTATGAAGGCGAAGGCAACAGAAACACACAAGACTTACCGTCACTGCCATAGATTGACGGGGCGATGCTGCTGGCGATTTTCTGATAGATGTCCGGTTGCGCTGACAACGTGCGGAAGCGATGCTCTTCTTCAGGAGTGAATGGCACTGCGGAGCTTCGGCCGGGACCTTCCGTTTCCACGGCGAAGCCAAGGGCACGGACATACGGACGGCGAATACCTACATTGATCTTCTCTGCCTCGCCACGCTACATGGACACAAAGAACACGAACAGCACCATCTGGCTAAAGCACATAGTAGAAATTTGTTGCGAATGCACCACATACATTCGGATAGCAGTCGCAGTCCAGTGCCACAGACAAACAGAACAGTATACTCACACGTGTGATACACCATACATCATTTCTTCCAGAAGTCAAAGCAAGAAAGGATTTAGACGCCCAAGGACCCCCATCATAACATACCTTGGGCTTTCCACCTCCTTTTCGAATCGAGTAGATTCCTACAACGGTAACGCGGTTGCCAGGAACGACTTTCTCCACAAGATAGCTAAAGAAAAACCACAAAAAATGAAACCGTAGAATGAGCCAGAACACAGTAGTAGAAAACGTTACAAGGACCTACAGTCCATTCACAAAAAGATGGGCCCTGGCGAGCTCCCGTATTAATTAAGAGATTTTTCAAGATTTTATCGTACAAAGTGCAGTGCTGCGAAATTTGATATTTGAAAAAGGGTCCAAAAAGGGTACCTGAACTGGGGTTCGAACCGTACAATGCACTGTTGCAGGCAGGGTCAAACGACCTGGATTTTGATGGGTTTTCCGAATTCAGTGCTCTTGGGGCAAAACCTGGCCGAAATCCTATTCTTGCCATGGCTTGCTTTTTTGAGAAATAGACTTCAAAAACATAATTGGAAAAGGATTCCATAGGGGATTACAGAAAAAAATTCTAAAAAAACTCAACGTTTGACCTATTTATGGCCAAAAGCTAGAAGTCCATCTTTTTCTGAATGGACTGTACAACCTATACAAATAAACATACATACCGGTACCACGATCAAAGAACACCATTCTACTGCCTAGTATTCACTACAATCCTGTATGCCACACTCCTACAATCCAATCCAATCCTCGCACGCAAGCCATTCAGCATAGGCGAAGCTGCGGACGTGACATACTCATTACTGCTGTTACACTTCAACGCGAAAATGCTTATAATAACGATATTCAATACTAGCCATGGCTGGCTAACGCCCCTTCCTTTGCATTGGCTTCTGCCATTGGACGGTGAAATAATAATAATAATAATAATAATAATACAAGAAGCATGGTAACCAAGTACAAAGTCAAGTCAGTGATGGGATCAACCAACGCAGCCCCAGTGCACTGTACCATGGAAATAATTTAGACAACAGAAGATACGCACCGGTCGCAGTAGACCTCGATGTGTCGCGGCATTTCACCATTCGGTACAGCTTCAGGACTTTCTTGAAATTTCAACACCTGAGCAGAGAAGTAGCAGAAAAGTAGAAGATCGCATGAGCACATACCTAACTGCCACCACCTGTCCGAAGAGGCTACGAAGTGTTAACTGGCATACAGTAAAGGCACATTTGCTGCAAACACCACTTTGGTCATTCGCAACATCAGGACATTACGTGCACATGACATTGCATGCATATACACGTCCTCCCTACCTGAAAGTCCACACACTTGCACTTATCAGGGACAATGAAGAACGGATCGACGGGGCACTTGGGTTTCCCGAGCTGCTGAGTATCTCTGGGAAAGCACAAGGAACACCAGTGACACATCCGTGCTGGTCATAAAAGAGTAGCTTCAGCCCTCATTATCATTAATACAGGCTTTAAACGTGTCAAGCACCATTGAGAATATGCATTGGTTGCAATTTTCTATTTTCTCATCAGCCCATGGTTGGTAGCGTCAGAGTGATAGCGGTGTGCGCCGACCGACCTCAATCAAATGAATGTTGAATGGAAAAGCACACTGCCAAATATTCTCTTGGATGATAGTCTGTACATCAACGCACAGTTCACGGAAGATACTAAACGCAGATTATGTTGCAGTGTTCTGGTTGGTCAAACCAAAATGACTGTAGGGTACAGTGAAGCCAAGGGCTGAATGTCGCAGTGAACACTTCCACCACGGAGTAAGCACTCCATCACTTCGAACAAATAAGGAGTTCCATGTCTGGTCCGTTCAGCCGTAGTCACGGTGTTTGGAACGGGGATACGGATTTATGCCGAGGGCATTCTCCAATGTGCCAAAACGGGTGTGTTTACGATGAGGGATGCTACATGTTGAACAGGGGGCTGCAACACACTTACGAGTTACAGCTGCGTGGCAGCATGTATCCTTCCAGGCCAGGCTTGACGGGAATGTCATTCAGCATTGCCCGGCATGTCCGGCACTGCAGAGTCAGTGTAGTTGCCTTGGCGCGCACAGAGCTTGCGTTGATGGCGATGCCGGGGATCTTGACCAGGCGCGACATCTGGTCGGACTTCAGAGCGCGGATGGTGCTGGGATTGGCGTCCCAGTTCAACAGAACCTGAACGTCGTGCATCACCTCCTGACCTACGGGGCGCGGCTGGGTAAGCTCATCAGCCATCTCCTTTGCCGCATCCTCGAACTGCACATGCGGAAACACATTCAGTTCTCAAGTTGACATAACCACTGCAAGCCCATAGCCCTCATAGTCAGTACACGAAACAGCGAGGTCAACATTCAAATTTTCAATTTCTCGCGTGCAGCAGTAAATGTTCAATGTTCATCAGTCATTCATGTGGCACATGAATTTACGCCATGCACAACTCGTTCCAGGAAGTACACACTACGAACACGAGTTGCCACATCAACGACAGGATGAGATTAACTGCAACTTACCAACGGCAAGTATTCTGAAGGTTGCTTGAGGAGACGAGAGCACAGTTCCTCATCGTAGGTGGAAAGGTGACCAATCTCCACTTCAATCCAATACTGTCCAACATTGTAACGGCGTCTCAGCTGCTCCCTATTATTTGAAAGTTTAGAAGCGTCCAGAGAGAATAGGACTTCGTGTAACTACCACCGTTCACATCATAGAACATGACAGGATACACATCCACAATTGGCGACCCAACCTACCTGTAACGATAGTTGAAATTGCTTTCACTAAATTCGCGAATGAAATTGCGGAACCCCTGCTTCGACTGAACCCGTGCAGCTCTCTCCTCTTGAGGCTGCTCCTCAGTGCCGAAAGGGTCACTGAAAAACAATCCTGGATCGTCAAAGCCCGACATTGTAGCTAGATGTTTGGCCAAAGCTCCACACCAAAAGACAAAAAACGCTGTTGGTGAGATACAACTCTACTCAACTCAAACATTCAACGGAAAGGCTGCAAGCAAGTCCGAAATCGCGCTTCAGGTGCACGTGGTCACTGGAATTCGCGGGAAAACTTGAACGCATGCGTGCATGATCAGCTGATGGCTCACGTGTCGTCATACTCTCGTCCAGTATGACCTCATGATGATTCAAGAAAGAAGTTTTTATGATTTTGAATATTTTGAGGATATTTCACACAGAATGAGATGACTTCGATAGAGCTAAACTAAAGCATACAGTGTTAGTAAACACTAACTTGACTAAGTCTTGTTCTTTTGCCAAAGGCGCAGATCATTTCTGGAAAGCCGAAGGACTAACCTACTGTGGGAAGTACTAATCATTGGTGAAAATAATAGTTTCGCTCGTAGGAACAATCTGCCACTTGAAAACTTATTGTTAAAATTTTTATGTTGTAAGACATTGCCAGTGCAAAACCGTGTATTGTGGGATTCATCAGCATACTAATTGAGGCCATGCTGCGGTGAGCAAATATCCGTGATAATGTCAGACACGTTTGAGGGCATCAATGCCATCAGGCAACGCCAGACGAATCTTAGAGACCGCCTGGAGAAGAGAAAGCAGCAGCGAAAAGCACTGGAAGCAGGGTCCACCAGCACGCCGCAACCAGATGCTGCTGCGGACGTGGCCACATCGACACCCGTAGTAGCTGAAGAACCTCTAGCAAGTAGCACTAGTGTTAGTAAACAAGCTCAGGGTGTAGCGACATCTACAGCTGTTGCTTTGGATGCCACTGTGGAGCATGTTGTAATACGATGGCTGTGTGACCCGGCAGTGGTGCCCGTCCAGGCCAGTGCTATATGCGAGCGGCTGCAGCGCACCTCCGAGGAGGGCGCCGACATCTCCCTGGATGCTGTGAAGCAGACACTGCGCAAGTTTGCGCTGCAGAGTCTCTTGTCTCTGTCGTCCGGTGACGATACGTCCGTCGTCTCTGTGGATTTAACAAAGCTCTGTGCGATGCGTGACTCTGGTGGCGGTACTAGCACTGCATCAGGCGCTGACAATACAGCCATCCAGTCGCAGAAGCGACCAGCGCCTGGTCCTGTAGATGATCCTAGCACTAGAAAGGTAGCAAGGACAGAATCTGCAGATGATCTTGATATCGATAGCTTGCTGCAGTCGTCTTCTGTAAAGGAGACCGAGAGCCAGAAGCTCGGCCAGGAGATCAACGAGCTACTCTCCTCCAAGACTACGAAAGAGCTATCTCTGATGGAGAAGTTCAAATCGCAGGGCGGAACGCGCCTCAAGGAGTTCTGCAAGCACGGGACGAAAATCGAGTGCCGTCGACAGAGGCGATCCCAGTACGCGTGTGAAAATCTGCATTTCCGGCGCATAATCCGCAGCCACACGGACGAGAGTCTCGGCGACTGCTCGTTTCTCAACACGTGTTTTCACGTGGACACCTGCAAGTTTGTGCATTACGAGGTGGACTACGCCCGGGACACGCCAGCTGGTGCTGGTCAGACAAGCAGTGCTTACGGCGGCGGCGACTCTGCTGCATTGGCTGATAGTACGATAGAGCACAAGCTGTACCCAGCACAGTGGGTCAACTGTGACATCCGGACGCTTGACTTCACCGTGCTGGGAAAGTTCAGCGTGGTCATGGCTGACCCGCCGTGGGACATTCACATGGAGTTGCCATACGGCACGATGAGTGACGATGAAATGCTTCGCATGAACGTCACCACACTGCAGGACGAGGGCTACATCTTCTTGTGGGTCACAGGCCGTGCAATGGAGCTGGGTCGCTCCTGCTTGGACAAATGGGGCTATAAGCGCTGCGACGAGCTGATCTGGGTTAAGACCAATCAACTCCAACGACTCATTCGGACTGGTCGCACTGGCCACTGGCTCAACCATGGTAAAGAACATTGCCTGATTGGGTACAAGGGATCCCCAGGGCGGACTTACACGTTCAACAAGGGCTTGGACTGCGATGTCCTCGTCGCAGAAGTGCGTGCGACGTCACACAAGCCCGACGAAGTGTACGGGCTCATTGAGCGCCTGGCACCGGGCTCGCGGAAATGCGAGCTGTTTGGCCGACAGCACAACGTTCAACCTAACTGGGTGACCTTGGGAAACCAGCTTGACGGTGTACGCCTGGTGGACCCGGACATGGTGGAACGCTACAAGAAAGCCTACCCTGACGGGAACTGCATGAAAAAGTCCACCGGCTCCTCATAGCAACAGAATTACGCTAGAATGCTGAGCCTACAGACTGCAGACATTGTGTACAGGTCCCATTTCATTCTGGTCAACCCATGCACTCAGCTACTGCTTGTATTATTTGAACTTTGGATGATATTCTGCCTTGATTTGTTCAATCCTGGATTATTATTTTTGTCATAGTGATCACCGTAAACCATACAATTGGAATCATGAAAACCATAAAATCAGATGCAAAAAAACATGAGATGAACTGAAGATATTTCACTCATAAAACTAGGAATTTGTACATTTTCAAAATTTTGCGATGAAAATTTTATGAACACACAACCATCCTGCGGTGTGTTTTGAAGTATGGTGTGAGAATAAGATAGAACACCTTGGACATATTACCACAAGGCTGTGTCTGTAATGTGAAGAACATTTAGTGTGTTGATGGTTCATTTAGAAAAGATATGAACTGGGAGTAAATTTGAATATTAGCTTGGGTGTTTTTTCATGTGAAGAGCCTGCTCAATTTCAGAGTAAAGAGAGGGACAGCAACAGCTTGCCTATAATATATGCTGGTATCATGGAGATATACTAAATGCAGCAAAGTCTTTCTTTTCACTGTCTAACTAGCTAGCTCTGGAGAGAAAAGGTCACATCAAGGCATGTGTATTCATGCACACATGCTCACCAACACAGAGGCTGTGGAATCTGAACGTTTTCATGGACGCCAATGCAGCAACAACACCTACGAGTGTTGTATTACTGATCATGGCCTGGGACTCGGTCAACCACTGACGATGAGATTCGGACTGCTTCGTGTCGGGAATCCAATCCTCGTAAATACAACTGCCTGCGTTACGCGCAGCCCACAGGTATTTGAGTGCAGCAGAACCGCAGTTGTGTCTACCGCCATCACATCAAGCATGCGCCATACCAGAATCACCTCATAAACGTATGTTTTTTTTCTTTCCTGGAGGCATTCCTGTTCCACCACCAACAGCTTGTCTCTGTCCACCTCTACCCGCTGATGACATCCAGGTGGGCAACGAACGCTGACTTGAAGCGTCGTCGCTGTTCTGCCGCTTCATTGGTGGTACGGGGTCCGGAGCAAATTGCTTGGCACGACCAGATGGCGATGTTGTCGAGCCTGCTCCTGTGGCCGCTGCGCTAGACTTTGCTAGGACGTAAGGCGAGCGCGCAGTGGATGACCCTGTGGCCTTAGCTTGGACATAGGCCGATCGAGCAGTGGATGATGACTCGGTGGGTTTAGCCTGGACGTACGGTGACCGAGATTGACACGGCAGCTGACTGGGGCTGGTACCTGGGAAATAGGATGATGATACCAATGCAGGCTCAGGGGATGGAGCTGATGGTTGCTGGGCAGCTGGCAACAATGAAGTTGACTTTGGGCTTGATGTACGATCAGCACTTCCCTGGTGGGTAGCAAAAGAAGCGAAATGAGAATCCACACACATACAAAGAAGAAGTCAGAGGCAATGAATGGATCGGATTTCCCAGAACAGAATTCAACTTTCGACTACTGTGGAGGTCAACAGCCAATGGGCCAGCAACGCAGAGAGAAACTCAAGCTCGGTGATGGGGTGCCGGTGGAAATGTTTATAGTCTACAAAGTGTGTACAAGCCTGTAGGATAAGATGCACGTGAATTGTTCTTTTTTAGGACTGCAATGCACCAAGAGTACATAACCCCCAGAGTGTGCAACGCCTGACCCAGCTCTGCGTAGGGTCGTGGTCGAGCGTAGTCGGATCTTCTGATGTCATGCGTACACTCCACACCAGCACAAGGCCGGTCTCGAGGCAGGACACCGTTATTTTTGATCCGACAGTCCCCGCGACTCCCCGGGTTCTCCTAAGATGTGTACGGTATTATGAGAATTTATGACACAAAGATCCGATTACGCTCAACCAAGACCCTATGCAGAGCTGGATCAGGCGTTGCACACTCTGGGGGGGGGGGGGGTTATGTACTCTTGCTAGTACCCATTTCAACCAGAGAACGTGCACAGGTAACATCACAATGACATTGAGCCAAGAGTATAACCCCCCAAGAGTGTGCAACGCCTGATACCCTTTCTATGGGGTACGCCGACGGCGAAAACTCACATCACGTGGTGCAGTGTCTTAGTTGTACGTTTCCAGCCCGTTTTTAGCGAGCAGCGGAGTAATAAAAAAACACTCTCTGACAGAAACTCACTGCGCGTATGCAAATTCCCAGCATGATCATGGCAGATATTCGGATTGCGCGCACGCTATCCTTCGTTTGTGCGTAGTACGAACATATCTGAGACACGTGATGTGAGTTTTCGCCGTCGGAGACCCCATATGCAGAGTTGCACACTCTTGGGGGGGGGGGGGGGGGTTATATACTCTTGATTGAGCCCGTAGTATATTGCACCGAGCACCAACGAGTCCACTACAAGCATGCACACTACTGTATATGCTGTCAGATTTCAACTCGACTGATCAAAATGTTCCAGAGCATGGAAAATGTGGAAATTAAATGCCACTTTTAACCACTCATTATAGCACACAGCATGAATCGGCATGAAACAGATCAAGCCTAGCGCCAGATAACTGTCTAATCCACACAACTGGCGAAGCCATGTGAATCGACCCCCAATACACACATACACACGTGCACACGTGCACACACACACACACACACATGCGTGTCACTGTACCGTGTTATCTGATGCTTCTTGCAGCAGCGCAATCGCCATTTTCAGGTGCCAGTATTCCAGCGATGGACAGGACTGTTTGGCTGCTCTGATAACACCTTCACCACCTGTCAAGTACATGGCAAAACATACACAGTTCACACTGGTACCAAGATTACATATTAAACCCCAATCAATAATGTACTGATGAGGCCTTTACGGCCGAAACAGCCTGCTGTCTACAGTATTGGGTAACCCCAATAATGTGCAAGTTTGCATTGGATTGTGGTGCAGCGGAATCCATACAAATCCCGCAAAAGCCACGGGAACAACACAGCTGGGTTCCACTGAGTTTGCAAGTGGTGCAAAGTCGCTCCTCGAAAGGTAAAATAGGGGAGAAGACATTCAAGACATCTTACCAGTTGATTCGTAAGCAGCTTTCACAGCGGCAACTGATCGACTTTCAACGTCGGTTGTAAATCCAGCTGCCAAACGCGTACACAAAGACAGAAGAAGTCATTTGGCTGTCACATTCACCATTGCAGGATCCAGGTCAGAATCACGTTCCACAAGGAGATTCCTGATAGCAACAACACACTCTGCATTCACCTGATCAGCTGCTAGATCAGATTGGCTGAGAAGTCCACAAGATCGGATATACATGTACACTATACAGTCTACCTCACAAGTCATAACCCCGGGTACAGCAAGCCACGAATAGTGACACTAACTTCAGACCTAACGATCGTTTGACTGCATAGAATCCACCTTGTGAATAACAACACATGTCGTATGCTTAATCAAGGGTCGTTAGTCGCAAGGCTGACTGTACTACACCGTATCCGTATTTCAGCGAGGGCACCAACATTCACGCCCGGCACAAATTGCATCATGCATCATTTCGTCCAGTAGAGTTCATTAGTACGTCGGGGGGGGGGGGGGGGGGGGACTTCCCTACCTCTAATGTAATCAACAGGATAGCCAGCCTGAAATGCATCGACAAGATGACCACCAACAGTGGTCGGCTGGATGCCTCTAGTAGTAGCAATCTGTTCCTGTGAGCAACAGGCATCAAACGGACCAACAGACACTCAGGAGTATGCAACACAGAGAAGAAAATATTAACGTGGCCATTGCTACACACCATGCATAGTAACCATATAACGGTGATGTCCGGGTGGTCCACTTCTACTCATGGAGTCATGGGCCAATGTTTACTCTCCATGCGTACATGTGCAATCAATCACTTCATATGACCGTACAGAACGAACCCCTAGCAAGTATAACAAGTGAATCTGTAGTACACCATTCTGCGTAGTATGTCTTCCACCTCAGCACACACTCTATCCTGTGCTCACTGTGAATGAGCACAGTCATATTCACTTGTGTACTACATGCAGGCTATAGTATAGGCACTGCACCCACTAGTCTGTGACATGTGATGAAGAAGTAAGTTACACTCATAGCTCTCTTGTCCGGACCTTGAAGTTACGGGCACGTCGGTCTACCGGGCACGCTGTGGGAGAGTTATAGTCATGTCATATACATGAATGCAGGATATCAAACCCTTCCCCCATTGACCCGTTTCGGACTCGGAGTTGCGGACATTTTGAAGCTATGGACAGTGCCCGGTCCCGGACCGCCGCCCGGATAAGAGAGAGATATGAGTGGACTGTACAGGGAAACAGGGAAACAGAGAAACTAACCAGTGTTTGGCTTTCCTCGTGGAACATGTTGTAGGAGACCACTACAGTCTGGCTGAGGTCCTTCTTCATACAACTTGGCTTGACCAGGACTTGCTGGATAGGACAGGAGAAGACCAGGCGAAGGAACTGTTGCATGTGCTACACATGAGTTATATGTGTTGTTTGTAATTATCATGCACAGTCATCTAGTGCCTTGCTATGCCATCGCATGACACTCCATCCATGTACGGCTTACCTGCACATGACACGCGTTCATGATCAACCAACCTATGTGGTCTAGCTTGTCATCGTATTGTACACATCCGGTTCTGGATCCTTCTATCTTCTTCTACTGCTTCTAGCACCTTCCGTCCAGTTCTGATAATCTGGAGTGATTTGCATTTCTTTGTTCTTCTTGTTGTTTATGTTCCCAAGAAGTGAAGTCAAAATAGAATGCTCTCGCATGTTGGGTGTGTGAGTTCGAAATAAGTAACAAAGTTCATGGATCGAACTTTACAGGAACGATATGCGAAATACAAATCAAGGTATGCAGGAGAGTCAACCGATTTACAATTCACTACATCAAGGAAAGGATCGTATCAATCTTTCGTCAATGGCCAAGAGGAGCAAAACCATGAAAGCACAGTACAAATATCACATGCCTAGCTGCATACTACATTGTAGTTGTATGACAGTACGGGCAGGACCACCAAGTCTGATCTGCTTGGCCGCCGAAACTCCATGAAGCATGTACTTCAGCAAAGCTGATCAGTAAATCCTTACATCTTCTGGGACTAATTCAAATGAGATCTTTTTTTTTTCGAGAGAGAGGGAGAGAGAGAACTGTGCAAAGGAAAGTGGCTTCCAACTGGACTATGATGCTGCACTTCTAGGCCTAATCGATCTGAGCCCCTACCTCGACAGATTGACGCTTTACCAGAGAGGACGGGTCGAAGTCTAGCCGTGCACCGTGCTCACGGCAGAACGAGACAATCTTGTCAATGAAGTTCTTGCCATACTTCTCAGCCTTCTCGTCAGACAAGCTATCTATGTTTTTCAGAGCCATGATTGAGCTAGGCCTGAAAGCACAGGAACAACACCCAACAGCAAACACAACTGGTCAAGCACAGCAAGCACAACTTGTCAAGTACAGCAAACACTACTTGTCAAGCGTGGCACAGTAGACCCACACACGGAAACGACAGCTGACGTGGAATGGGGGAACAGCGCCCAAGTAATATCGCCCGGCTTTCCAGCAGCCAGCGCCTGGTGCCGTATATATACCACATGAGCATTCTACAAGCAGGTTGGCCAACCCCGCCACCATGCCAGAGCAGTGCACCAATACATAACATATACTTCGAAGCACAAGGTTACCATATCAATTGTATACAAATGCCTTAGTTCAAAGTTGGTCTGTCTCATCGAGGGGTGGGTGTTCAAAGTACGTGAAGTTGAACAAACAAAACAAAACAAAGGTTACTAATTTAGTAATACCGTTTATGAGTAAGATAATATGATACACATGGGCATTGGAACTTACCGCCGGCGTGCCATCTTCTGTAAGGCAATATTCGTAACGAGAGATGCGGCGCTGGTAACCATTCCGCTGCGGCTAAGAGCCGACAGCAGGCCAGCTCTGACCATGATGAGCTCCTGGAAGAGGGCGGCCTGCAGGAAACAGAGCACCATCACATAGCACACAGTACACAGCACTTACAGTAACAACAATCACACTGCTAAGATGGCCTTACAACTTTCCTACAAGTACTGCAGGTACATACCGAAATCTGCACTCACAGTCGACGTTGAGCTCAATACCGTAATACGTTTGGACGAGATAGCAACGATAAGTATAGCCGTGCACTCACTGCGAGTAAAAGATGGTACGGATAAAGCTTAGCAACGGTGATAGCAGGACTGTTAATGCAGGTGCAGTTTTGCTACATTGATTAGATGGCATGTTTTATACATTGGAGCGTCACACTTGGTCAGGGTCTGAAGATATCGCTATTCGGAGTCTGAGTAGGCTTGTCCACAACGCGGGAACAACGGGAATGTGTGCAGTATAGGCACCAACACCATTCAGACTGCTGTCAGTGTCTTGTACAGTACTAGGAGTTGCATACACATCACAGTGCATACACATCACAGTGCATACACATCACAGTGCATACACATCACAGTGCATACACATCACAGTGCATACACATCACAGTGCATACACATCACAGTGCATACACATCACAGTGCATACACATCACAGTGCATACACATCACAGTGCATACACATCACAGTGCATACACATCACAGTGCATACACATCACAGTGCATACACATCACAGTGCATACACATCACAGTGCATACACATCACAGTGCATACACATCACAGTGCATACACATCACAGTGCATACACATCACAGTGCATACACATCACAGTGCATACACATCACAGTGCATACACATCACAGTGCATACACATCACAGTGCATACACATCACAGTGCATACACATCACAGTGCATACACATCACAGTGCATACACATCACAGTGCATACACATCACAGTGCATACACATCACAGTGCATACACATCACAGTGCATACACATCACAGTGCATACACATCACAGTGCATACACATCACAGTGCATACACATCACAGTGCATACACATCACAGTGCATACACATCACAGTGCATACACATCACAGTGCATACACATCACAGTGCATACACATCACAGTGCATACACATCACAGTGCATACACATCACAGTGCATACACATCACAGTGCATACACATCACAGTGCATACACATCACAGTGCATACACATCACAGTGCATACACATCACAGTGCGTGCACGTGTCAGTAAGATGTGCGATCTGAATGCTACTGGTGTCAACGGCTGCCACCTACAGAAATGCCGTCTTCGCGCTGCTGCTCCTCTGACGGCGGTAGGTCCACGTCGGCGCTACCACCAATTGCAGAAGAAGCTCGCTCCAGTGCTACAGTTGTGACGCGGAGTAGGCCTTGAGCTCCGAGTGCAACTGACGGATTGTTACGCACCGTGCTGTGGGAACAATCACAAACACACAAAAACACAGGGTCAACTCTTAGTCGTAGACACCACACTGACATACTTGAAGTAGAAGTGCTCTTTCTCTGCGGTATAGGTCAGTAAAGAGAAGAGAATCGAAACGACCGCCGCTCCATGGCAGTGCAGTACCAGTGCAGTACGAGTCGAGACACATCACCCGCTCAGAAAGACCCATATCGATGAAGCATTGTCCGCTGATCACTTTGGTACAGTGCGTATCGGTTATAGCGTGGTCGTGTAAAAGAATATACTGCCTACAAGAATGAACCCTCAAGTTTTCATAATCATAACATGGATTTCAAGTGCACATTTATTCTTACAAGCAATTTTATCCCATAGTAGAATACATCGGTCCTAAGAATGGACTTTGTGTAGCGAAACATGCCAGATTAGTACAAAGTGTATTGCCTGAAGTAATAACATCTGTCCGATTCCGTTCTGGTCTGACTCTCATTGCGTCGTAGTGCTGCAGATTCAACTGTTGTGGTCATGTAACTCATGTTGCATAGCCACATGGTAAGCCTATGGGGCTATGACCAACCACATGCACAGAAGTACTGCGTTGCATGTACGATGATCTTCCTGCCCCTGCGCTGCTGCGCACATGCATATGATATGCCACACTTGATTTATCGTGTGTAAGAAATATCGGAAATAAGAATAGAAAGTCGTTTTTCAAACACCCACGCTATAACCGATACCTACTGTACTTACAATGTGACTTGCGCAGCTCTCTCAGCCTGCTGCTCAACCTCCACCATGTCCTGTTGTCAGGAGCAAACACAGACAGCACACGTGCATACGTTGATAAGTACAGGATGATCCATGAAGGTAGATCAGGGTGCTCTATGAGAGTGTGTCACTGTGTGTGCTGACAGGTCAGCACTCCAGAGCTTTCCAATCCACACACAAGGTCCGGTGGAAATGTCTATACTCCGGGTGTCTTGCTCGACGCAATCATCAGGCTGATAATTCCGTAATCAAGTAGGTTTAATAACGTCAAGTTCTGAGTCACAACACAGCTTCACCCTCCAACTTGCACTACTTCTCTCACAGTATGAGTCTGTGCTGTGAGCTAATCCCAGTGGAAGTATTATACTGCTTTCTGTTTGCAACCAGAGTCACCACTCGAGACCACAACATTTTCCCTGTAAGCTGCCCCAGGCAAGTACCGTGCAGATCCTGCCACTACACACACAAACCAGCGGCAAAGGCAAACGAAGCAGGCCATACCTGTGTTGGGCTCAGTCGCAGTGGTCCACTCTTACTTTGACGCAAATACGCACCACCCTTGTCTGGGGATACACAGCAAAACACAAGTGACCAACAAAAATATCAAATGGAACTGAAAACAAGGCTGAGAGAAAATTAAGAATGTCACTGCACTGTACAGTTGAACTGTAAAACAAAGCTTCCACGAGTATCGCATCTTGCCACAGGAAATGCAACTACATACTTTTTTTTCACCTTGTCATGTCCCTTCCTCCCTCTCTCATAACAGCCACCTTCACTTCCTTTCCCCAGGAGACTGACTCCATTTGCCCCTGGAGAATCCTTGAAAATATAATATCAATAATAAAATACGATAACACGCCACTGGGCAATTAAGAGTAAGTGAACACACTGCCCAATCCTGTCACCCACCCACCCACACCCACCCCCCACCCCCCCCCCCCCACCCCCATACACACACACCATTGGACCATTGGACGCCCATCGCCAGAGGCGATGATAGCGATGCTACGGCACAAGCCATAGCAGCTTGTGCTGGGATTGCACCATTCAACAGCTTGCAAGGCTGAAGAATTGACCGCCACTATCCAGCCTGGTCTACACCACACAGCTATGAAGTGGCTTTTTCTGGCCAGTGAATCCCTCCTTTTTGGTCTTTTTTCATTCGTTTTTTTCCGCACATACATCACACCACATACTCCGGCACACACACACACACACACACACACACACACACACACACACACACACACACACAGACACACACACAGACACACACACACACACACACATACACACACGCACACACACACAGACACACACAGACACACACAGACACACACAGCAACACAAAACAATGTCTGTTGAAGAGAGCCGTTCCACCTACCACTCAGCTTGACAGTGCAGCCAAACTTGCTGGCACCTTGCCCACCAGACCAGCCGCTCGAGAACGCCTCGTCCACGATAAAGCGCTCGTTCTTCAGCATACGACCTACACGGTGACAAGCAAGCAAAACAACAACCGACAGTGATGATAAGAACTGACATGTTGCGACTTCGGCGGTAATTGTAGAAGAAGGTTGCTCAAAACGTTGGAGCTAGCGTGCTCCAGACGGCAGTCGTGAGTCAGTCAAGTGTCAGTCAGTCGGCAGGAAGCACACTGCTCCAACATTAGGAGCAGCCACATTCTTCTACAGTCCATTCAGAAAAAGATGGACTTCTAGCTTTTGGCCATAAATGGGTCAAACGTTGAGTTTTTTTAGAATTTTTTTCTGCAATCCCCTATGGAATCCTCTTCCAATTATGTTTCTGAAGTCTATTTCTCCAAAAAGCAAGCCATAGCAAGAATAGGATTTCGGCCAGGTTTTGCCCCAAGAGCACTGAATTGGGAAAACCCATCAAAATCCAGGCCGTTTGACCGTGCCTGCAACAGTGCATTGTACGGTTCGAACCCCAGTTCAGGTACCCTTTTTGGACCCTTTTTCAAATGTCAAATTTCACAGCACTGCACTAGCACTGTGTACGATAAAATCTTGAAAAATCGCCTAATACGGGAGCTAGCCAGAGCCAGGGCCCATCTTTTTGTGAATGGACTGTAGTGATGATAAGATGATCAGTAGAGCAGGGAGTCGTAAAATACCGGTATTTTACGACTCCCTGCAGTAGACTGTTCTTTACTACGGTGCATTTATAATTTTGTACTTGTGGTAGTGTGCACTTGATGGTCAAATGCAGTCAACCTTAATTTTGCATGGACCCACAGGTCACCAGCTAACAGCATGAGTTACATTGCGCTTCATGAGTGTGAGTGCAAGGTTTGCAGTTACTCGCACTAGACATCTCCACATCGTATTCCAACACGCACAAACACACAGACACACACACAAGTGACTCAACTCACCCAGCGCTTTCCAATAGTTTTCCGGCAGGTGCCTAAATACACAGGATGAGGGGTAAGAAGATGAACACATCATTGACTTGATCTAAATCATCCTTCCTTGGTGTCTAAACTTCAGAGCAACTGGCTCAGCCAGAAATATAATGAGGAGCACCACTGATGAGACTTCATTTATATATTTTTATTTTATTCCAAGCAATACACGGCTGGGGTAGCCAATGACCACTTTGCGTGGCGATTGCATGTCAACATGGCTGGCGTTGCCGAGATAGACTCAACTTTGAAGTAACGTGCAATGTTTTCTGACTGTCCTAACTGTCAATAGGAAATACTTAGAGGGAAAGTTTCATACGCATTAGTACATGCGTGTACACATACATGCACGTGTGACTACTTTTCCAATACACAGTGTGTAGTAGTGACTGTTGTAGCATAGCAGTGCAAGCTAGGAACGAACATACCACTGCCAAGGTGTCATAGACAACAACAACAACAACAACAACAACAACAACAACAACAACAACAACAACAACAACAACAACAACAACAACAACAACAACAACAACAGCAGCAGCAGCAGCAGCAGCAGCAGCAGCAGCAGCAGCAGCAACAACAATGACGGCAGTCACTTATTCCACCTACTGTCCGACTCCGTAGTTCTCCTTCTTTCTGCACCAGTCAGGTAGCTTAGAGCTCTGCAAGTAACACAGCAGCAGCAGCAGCACCGGCAACAAACATGCACGGTATGTACATTAGCGACGGACTACACATGGTCAACCACAGTCATGCTCAATGAAGTTCAGGCTCATGAATACGTTTACACCCTGCACCAGTTCAGAGCACACTGACACACACACACACAAGTGGTCTCTACGCATCCCGTACAATACTGATTGAGCAACTCACCCCTGATCCACGGAGAAATAATATCGACGTCTGCAGGCCTCTTTGCCACATCTGCAAGAACAGAACACCATCAGAACAAAGAGCATTACTACATGCGTGTATCGGAAATTCTGAACACCTACATACCACTGAACAGATGGCTCTCACTTCTAAGCCCCCTATCCGCTATTCACTTGACCCCAATACCCAAGGATGGGCACTGCTGTAGCCATGCAAAACAGTTGAAAATTAGTAGCCACGACAGCTCAAGTGACATTCTTGCACCTGGACGTATTGATCGGATAGAATACGACCAAGATAAATATTTTTTTCCGAATCGAGCAACTTGGCGTTGTGGAAGCACCTTTGGGGGGGGGGGGGGGGGATGGAGCATAGCCGAGTAGTTTGCTCCTTGTTGTAAGACATTAAGCTGCATGGTGTCCAGCCCATTTCCCTAACGCTACAACATGCAGAGAGCTGCAGAAGGATACACTGCACTACAGTCACATGTGCTGCAGCTTCAATCGTAACACACCGTTACCAAACTCAAGCATGCTCCATGGCCGCTTGCTAAGGGCTTACCGAGATTGCTGACAGCAATTGCTTTGCTTCTTTAGCATAGTCCCGCTTGCCGTCGCTGTCTACCGCATCCTTGTCGCTTCCTGCATTGGCTGGCCGTGACAATCTACAAATACACAAGTGCACACAAGCTCACGATATGCTTGGTAGCATCTACGTGCGCTGACTTGAAGTCTATTAAAGTATTAATGCCAGAAGGTCCTTGTTTTGAGTAACAAAGATGCTGGAGCCTAGGAACGAAAAGAAAATTATTGAACTTCATTTCTCTTTTCCCTCTATCTGCCTATGTACGCGATATTCTGTGACTGAAGACGCACAGCCTTTCTTTCACAGCTATGCACAGGTAAACCAATATTACACAAAGAGCAAGACTTACGCTCTCGTGCAGTTGTCACAGCAGTTCTTCTTGGGCTTTGTACCATACGGTGTGATGTCCTCAAAGTGATTCAGAAGTGTGCTATAGTACAGAAATGCAATTCAACCACGCCAGCACGCCAGCACACCAGCACACCAGCACACCAGCACACCAGCACACACACACACACACACACACACACACACACACACACACACACACACACACACACACACACACACACACACACACACACACACACACACACACACACACACACACACACACACACACACCATATGCAAAGAACCTTTCAACAGTTCTCTCTCACGCAGCTCGTAAATTTTCCAACAAATGAGTCATTGTCTGGCATGGGGGCAGCTCTCGACCTAGTTGTCACTGATATACCGGACTCTATATCCTGCCTCCGTGCTACAGCACCACTTGGACAATCCGATCATTCTATCGTGGTTGGCCACATCCGTACTGTACCCTGCCCAGAAATGCCCACATATCGTTCTCGTGATGCTCGTTCGACTCCCCTGGATGTCCCTGATTTTAGTGTATTTTCTTTGGATTCTCTAGACAGCAACACTGTCGCGAGTATGAATACTGCCATGTCCCACATACATTGGCCAGCAGCTTTGAGCCTGGAGAGGCGCGATCCTGACATATCTGTGGACAACTTTTACTCTATTTTCCATAACATCTGTGCAAGATTTCTGCCCAGGCAGAAGCCGCCAGCTGTCAAGCGTATCCATATGAACCCCCCATGGCTGACCAGTACCCTCCGACATCAAATAAAGAAAAAACGAGATTCGTATAGTGTTTACCGAAAGTTTCCCTCGGCTGACAACTTCGCTATTTACAGACGAGAGCGAAACGTTACTCGCAATATGTCTCGAACTGCCCATCGACTGTACATCTCATCCCTAAGTGCATCCACGGCAAGACTCGCATCACCAAGTTTATTCCAGTTTGTCCGGAAGCTTCGATCTCCCCAAGGCAACAGCAGAACGACTGTAACTCAGCTCTCAGTCGTTGGTACTCTATATTCTGACCCTGTGGATGTGGCAGATGCTTTGAACGAACAGTTTATTGGTTTTGGGACACAAGATGATCCTTCATGGAATGTGCCAGACTTCAAGCCACCCGACGCCCCATCACGTGGAAGAACTACACCTACGTTGCAAGATGTCACCACCACGCCTTTTGCTGTGGCAAAGCAAATCCGCAACCTTAAGACCCGAAAGGCTGCGGGAGCGGACGGTATTTCTCATGAACTCCTGAAACTCTTTTGTTCCAGTATTGCATACCCTCTCAGCCTCATCTTTAACCTCACTTTTGCAACTGGTGCTTTCCCTGCTATTTGGAAACACGCAATTGTAACTCCGGTCTTTAAGAACAAGGGAAGTAAGCTCGATGCATCGAATTACCGCCCGATTTCGTTATTGTCAACAATCTCCAAGCTGTGTGAACGTATTATGTACAACCACTTATACACTTACCTGTCTCCTGTTCTACATCCGTCCCAGTCTGGATTCCGAAAAGGCGACTCTACGTTCTGGCAGCTTCTCAGACTTGTTCAATCGATGTCTTTTGTTCGTGAGAACGGCCATTACAGCATGCTATGTTTCTTTGATCTAAGCAAGGCCTTCGACACAGTATGGACACGCGGGCTCCTATACAAGCTGTCGCGCCATGGAATCCATGGTACTTGCTTCACGTGGCTCAGTACTTACCTAACGGGCAGACAGCAAAGGGTGCGTGTCGGCTCTGCTCTGTCTACCAAAGGGCATGTACGGTCTGGAGTTCCTCAGGGATCAATCCTGGGGCCTCTCCTCTTTCTTATGTATGTAAACGATCTGGCAGAAATGGATCACACATCACTATATGCTGATGATACAGCACTACTTGTGACAGCACCCACTCTCCCCGAGGCTAGTGCCAAGTTACAGTCCAACATAGATGGCGTTATTCATTGGATGGAAAAATGGAAATTGCAGCCCAACTCCTCGAAAACTGCTGTAATGTGTATCCCCCCCCCCAGTTGTTCCTGTGACCTATCTTCATTAGTAACCAGTCCCTTCACCTTTCCAGGCACCACAACCCCGCTCTGCATCGTTGAAAAACACAAGCATCTTGGCGTCATTATTGACCAACACTTAACCTGGAAATCCCAGATCGAAAATTTAGACAGCCGTGTTAGCTCAGTGATGGGATTTCTCTCATCACACATCACCCACCTCCACACCGACTGTCGCCATGTTATCTACACATCTTACATTCTGCCTATTTTTGATTACTGCTGCATAATTTGGGCTGGCATTTCTAAAACACTGATTGCTCGACTCGAAGTTATGCATAGGCGTCTTTTGAAAATATTATTTCGGCTTCCTCGCCTGACTCCAAGCGCAGACTTATACCGCCTTGCTTCTGCTGTGCCGCTCTCGGGCCGCGTGCGTTTTTTGGCATGCCAGACAATTCATAAAATTAAGCTGGGCATTGCTCCTCTTCATGCTCTCTCCTGCCTAAGCTGGTTTGCTCAATCTCAAGACATGCGCACCAGAAACTCTCTCCGCTTCCCTATTGCGCGGTCTGCCTCTATGCAAACATCTCCTCTCTTCCTTGCTTACCGCCATTGGTCTCTCCTCCCACAACATCTAAAATCCTGCCAATGTTACAATACATTCACACAGCTACTGCAGAATGCAACATACTAGTTGATATCCAGCCCTGCCCTAGCTTCCCTTACTTTTCAGTTCCCCTTTCATTCTTTTTCTTTCTCCCCTCTAGCGCTATTACCGCCATGGCTGGCTATCGCCCACATCACCATTTCATTGGCTAGTGCCACGTGATTGTGAATAAATAATAATAATAATAACACAGCTCACACGTACGCACACACACACACACACACACACACACACACACACACGTGCACACGCACACACGCACGTAGTATCCAAGGTACTGCCTAACATGTAATTTTAGACGAAGCATTAAAATTTCGGTGTCAGGTACCTGATATGTTTCAGGTATATCTTAAATTTAGGTTACCGGCATTTCCTTCATTTAATTTACAGTGCATAGTCTAGTGCCTTTTCCGTAAAATCTAAATTTAGGCGCCTGATTTCTCTACCGAAACTACCGAAATTAGTTTCACCAAAAGAATAGTCTTATACAGTGCATACTGTAGAGGCAGAAAATTTCGTCGGTCAATAATTTCGTCCAACTCCAAAGAAAAGGAGTTCGTCCGGTTGAAAATTTCGTCCATGGATCATAAGAGTGTAAAGAAAAGCTGGACAAATCGATATTCGTCCTACATTTAATTTAGTCCAAAAGCTCCTTGGACGAAAAAGACGAAATTAAATTCCAGACGAATTTTTCTGCTTATACAATACCACCTACTGTAAGTCGACACATTTTCGGCCTCCCACGGCTACAACCTATTTCGGCAGCAACAAATTTTCGGCCAAACATCACCAGGCCGAAAATAGCCAAAACTAAATATGCGAAAATAATTTTGTTGACTTGATAAATCAGCAGAAGACAGCCTACACAAGCATGCATAATTGCACATGCAGACTTCAGAACATCAAGTTGTACTAGAGCCAACTAACTAGAACTGGAACATTGTACAGACATGTTACTCCAGAAGACCAAGCAACAAGCGCCCGGGAATGGCAGAGTATCTCAGAGCAGCCGCTTACCGTCGACGACATTCCGTGGTCGAGACATACATCTCCAATTTGCTGATCATCTCAATCTTGTGCACCTGGAACTTCTTATCAGTGATGTCACCCAGTAATGATCTACACAAAACCAGAAAACAAGACAGTCACAGCCTTACAGGCAAGCTCTGGACTCACTCCGCTGAAAACAAAATAGAGCTAGGTCACACACAGCTGGCAGGAGGAGCACAGGATCAGGTGCAATGGCGTCGTAGGAGAAGACAAAACTAATTAGCAGGTTAACTGTTTCGTAATAAGTATTCGCATGCAACGACGCAAATCCACACAATTCAGTAGACACTTCCTTTCTATCAAACGTTTTCTTTCCCTTCTCTTCAGGATAGTACAGGGAATGTTGTCAATTTGAAAAACACATAACTATATAGAGAAAGAAAGAAAGAAAAAAGTCAACACTTCAACATAGGTGATAAAATGATTAAAGTGTTAAAAATCAAAAACAAACAGCTGCAAGTTGTAGACAAACACGTTGAACACATCAGGGAACACTTGTCACACTTTCACGCGGTGTGACACCAAACAACTGCACGATAACACATTCTCCTTCTGTACACATAGTTCTGGATCTAGTTTACGAATATACAGAGCTTCTAACACAGCAAGATGTAACTTAGACCTTCCACGAGTCAAAATCGAAAAGATATCATCACTATACAACTTACGACAACTAGCACTGCCCGACAAATGACGCTTGATGGACCGATCACTTAGCTCTGTCACCTTCGACGCCTGCCGTTGTTCTCTTCCGTTAGGCTTGTTTGGTTGGTTGCTCCGGTCCACACCTCCAACGTCCGTTGATTTCATGTCCGTTTTAACGTGTTTGTCAGTGTCTACAACTTGCAGCTGTTTGTTTTTGATTTTTAACACTTTTAATCATTTTATCACCTACAGTAGAGTCGCGCGCTGAAGAACGTGGAGCCCAAGAACGTCCAGCCAGAAATTCTAAGAACGCCACAGCCTAAAGCTAAGAACGGCGGTGTTGTTTTCTGGCAGCCTGTGGGATACATAATGATCCAGTACGGATTGTTTCTAAGAACGTGCTATAAGAACGCAGCCAGATTGCTGAATAAGAACGTCCCAGGCTAACTCCTTGGAAACAACATTCTTGGGCGCGCGACTCTACTGTATGTTGAAGTGTTGACTTTTTTCTTTCTTTCTTTCTCTATATAGTTATGCGTTTTTCAAATTTACAACATTCCCTGTACTATCCTGAAGAGAAGGGAAAGAAAACGTTTGATAGAAAGGAAGTGTCTACTGAATTGTGTGGATTTGCGTAGTTGCATGCGAATACTTATTACGAAACTGTTTTCCCACCGCCTCCAAACTACAGGTTAACTGTACTAGTATTAACAACTAAGTTACAGCTGACAATACCTCTGAACATAACCAGCCCATGTGATTGTCCCACCAGCCCAGCCATGCCAAACCATATTGATTTACTCAACAACATCTCAAGACAGAACATGGTGTGAGCAACAAACAGTAGTGTGAAACAGAGTGATCTCCAATAGTGGCTAGATACTTCCTCCGGTAGCAAAAACTTTGTGACTTTTTCATTCGAATCCGTAGGAGTTTCTGTGCTGAAGAAATTTGGCTCAGTGGAACAAAACATTTCAAGACAGTGAGTGAGTGGATGTACTTGTTTGAAGTATGTACATTATTATACAAGAGAAAATTGGCACCGTTTCAGTCTGACTCGGAGTCATCATCGTTCAATTCCTCGGAGCTCAATTCACGATCAAAGTCACAAAGTTCTTATTTCTGGAGGAAGTAGAATGCAAGCAAACAGTGCACACCTTCCTCAATAGCAGTGTAAGTAACTACAGTAAACCTGATAAGGCGACCACCTGCCTCAGTGGACCACAATAAAAAGGACCAAGGGGTGTTGTTTCCAGCCAAATGACCCTGGATAAGGAGATCACCTGTACGCAGCGACCATATTTCGAAGGTCCCTTGACTTGCGTGGTCGCCTTGGACAGGTTTCACTGAATACCCATGTATAAACATCAGCAAAGTATGTTGTTTACAACCACCAAGTACAACTGCTATACATACTTCCACATGACAAAATCTTTGTAGCTGTATAGAACATAGCACTTGCTGTCATCTCTGTATGGCAGTGAACACATACATACGTGTACACACACACACACACACACACACACACACACACACACACACACACACACACATCACCCACACACACACACACACACACATCACCCACACACCCACACACACATCACCCACGCCCACACCCACACACATACACACACACACACACACACACACACACACACACACACACACACACACACACACATACACAGGGAACAGCACTATGGTCAGACGCACAGAAGCACTGAACACACTCACATACACACGAGCACACACATACGCACACGTGCTGTGATGCAGCCCACGAGGTCCCTAGTGACAGACAATGAGTACTTGATTATAGAACACAACTGTTTACTTTGCAAAATTTTGAACAGAGGTTGGTGGGCTGAGTGGAGATCCAGAGCACAGCACTGTGCACGTGCGGAAGTGAAAAGAAGAGAGCGTATGCGGGGTAATCCTAAAAGTATTCGTACATGTACTTGTACTTCACAAGCAAAGAACATCATGGTGCAGGTAGAGCTGTTACGTGTACTATTGGCAGGGTGAGACCATCCTCTAAAATTGGCAGGCTACTGGAGTGTGGCCGGGTGTGTTAACACAGACTTGCTGATATATGCTTTCCAATATGCATGCACTCGGCTTTGGGTGGCCACTTTCAGGAAAGGCGTATGAACGCATTCCACACAGGCAGTGACATTGCATGTATACATGTACATTGATGTGGGGTAATGGCACCATGAAGATCTACAATGTAGTGATGTTGATCTACATGACATGTACCGTAAAGTACCGTTGATCCGCCCCCTCTCTAATTCCCGCCCCCTGTCGATTTTTTCCTTGTGAAGCGACTTCGGCGTATACAACGAAATACGATGTTGAACCGACGCATACACTGCTGTACACAATACTTGCCAATCCAGGATCAAAATGTGCACAATCCAGCACATTGAGACTGATCCTCTACGTTGTTGTACATCGTACTGCACTTGACAGCCTTGATCTAATTCCCGCCCCCTGCCGAAAACGCAGCTGGGAAGCGACATGGCGTGGGGGCGGATCAACGGTACTTTACGGTAATAGCGAGGGGGGGGGGGGGGAGTACTAAAATGCTCAAAGACAGTCTACAGCCTGTAGCCCCAAAACAACAAGGGAACTTTTCAAAAACAATGGGACATCAAGAAACTACCGGTACTGATCAGGCACATTTTTAAAAACTCACCCATCTCTGCCTGCTCGGCCCATCTCCTGATAGTAGGATTCAATATCTTTGGGCACTAAGTTCCAGCACGCGACACACAGAAACATAAACACAGGCACCAGGTTAAGAAGTATGTGTGCCAACAACCCACACACCAAACACCCACTTGATTCGCTCCCTTCTCCTACAAATTGTAGAATACTGAAGTACATGTACATGGATTGAACTGTGGCAGAATGGAATGCACCAAAGTGCGCATACCGGTAAGCAAGATTGTATTCTCAAAACGACACTTGTCTATGACTGTGTTCTTCATGCACCCAGATATGCAGAAGCAGAGCCAGGTGGAGCAGGAGCCAGGCTGCCTACATACCTCCATAATGGATAACAAGACGCACATCAGGCTTGTCTATACCCATTCCAAACGCAACGGTCGCTACGACACACTGAGCAAGATGAGGAAATGCACAGAGGAATAATGCCAAAAGGACATTAGGACATCAAGCAAGACAATAGTGGAGAAAGAAAGAAAGATTCATGTAGATAGATAGATAAAACAGAGAGGTTCCAGGCTGTCCAAGAGAGTGCTCAATACCGAGTGGTAGAGCTGGTTCAAACAATAGGAGGACAGAGAAAGTGCACTAAGCGATCATCAGAAAACTGTTTTCTGATGATCGCTTAGTGCGTGAAACTCGGAGTAAAAACACTTTCTCTGTCCTCCTATTGTTTGTTAGATAGATAGATAGATAGATAGATAGATAGATAGATGAGAGAGAGAGAGAGAGCGAGAGCGAGAGCGAGAGAGAGAGAGAGAGAGAGAGAGAGAGAGAGAGAGAGAGAGAGAGAGAGAGAGAGAGAGAGAGAGAGAGAGAGAGAGAGAGAGAGAGAGAGAGAGAGAGAGAGAGAGAGAGAGAGAGAGAGAGAGAGAGAGAGAGAGAGAGAGAGAGAGAGAGAGAGAGAGAGAGAGAGAGAGAGAGAGAGAGAGAGAGAGAGAGAGAGAGAGAGGAGACCAAGCAAACAACTACAAACAGAGCCAGCCACAACAAACCAGTAAAGAAGGATGAATAGATGCAATGCATGCATCAACTTGCACCGGAGCCACCCAAGTAGGAGCCAACAAGGTGCATGGATAATAATTGGATATCTGCATGTCAACAGTCAACTAGCACTGTGCACCGAGAAGGAGAACATAACAACACAACAACAAACAGACAGCCCTCCTCACATCAAGCCTGTCCATGAGGAAGCCCTGGTGAGTGTCTCGTCGATGTTTGACTGACAGGCCAGCATGATACATTCCCACCTTGACGCCAAGCCCTGATCAGCAGAACAGAAGGCGAGCACAATGACCACAATGTAGAGAGTCAAGTTATGGGCAAACATCCCAGAAAGAAAAACAGTTAACCCCTCGTATGATTGGCCACGGGAATCCCAAGGCGCATCCACTGCACAGAGCACTTTTTAGATAGGTCTGATTCTTGAGAGTGCCAGCGAATTGGAAGCAGGACCACGGAAACTGGCTGAAAAAGAAAGAAGAAAACTGGAAGAATGTTATCATGTCTTTACATGGCACCTCAGATGGATGAAAGGATATCCATGATCATGTCAAGACTACCGTATTTTCTGAAATTAGTGCGTTATTTTACCGCCTGTCTGAAGTGCCGCGTTATTTCAGGGCTCTTGTGTGGATTTGTTAAAAATTGGGTGAAGTTTTAGGGCTTGCAAACTACTAAGCGCCTCAGCCGGAATTGCCAAAATACGGGAGAAGGTCAGCCCCCTCCCCAACATGCACACGCACACACACACATACATGTCATACATACATACACAAGCACACACACACACGCACATACAGTAGGGGACAGGAGAGTTCCTACCATTCAGTACACTGCAGACTTCCTCCGTCATTTTCTTGGTCGGACAGTACACAATGGTGGAGCCAGGGAATTGGTAGTGAGTCCTGTTGCCCATTCCATGCCAACAACAAGCACACAGAAAGACAAGCGCATTAGCTGACATCCACAACAGAGATTGCAGACACACTCACGTGACTGTGCTGCGGTACCACAAAACAGCAACTGCATGCGAAAAAGGGCACGGTTCCAGTATATTGTGCTAGGCGAATAAAAGACTGCAAAAGAAGAACCCTGGAGATGTGTTAGACTGTATTACTGGAATACACCGTACCAAGTACTTCAAAATAGCAGCCCAGATGCTACTCAACCAACTCCAAGTCGAACAGCATGCATGTGCCTCTATACCACCAAGAAAAGCAAACGTGTAACAGCCTTTATCTAATGATTCATGTTGGATATTTTCTTTCCCATGATGCATCTCAGCAAGAGTACGAGTGGATTATGTGCCTTGATCTAGCCTCTATGACAGCAATGTTAGGTTGGGCTGAAGGACATTCAGACGAAGCCTGCAATTGCTGTTCTCTATAAAATAAAATAAACCATCATACATCAGGACACACCATGCACACGACTGAGCGCCTACATCAATCCGGTCTCCTTGACAGGTGTCATGAACGTCTTCAGGTCATTTGCAACGTTGTTACCCCGAGGCCGCGCTTCAAAGAATAAGTTGGGTCTGGAGAAGGAATATAGAAATAGCACACAGAATGTGTTATTTTTCGAGCATCTCCGTTGGATGAGTGGGGAACTCCAACGACAACGAAACGTACAGATATTAACGAGTCATATGGCAGAAGAAAAGGCATTCATCACCGCATACCGATCGAAACTGGTGCAGAGCACCTGGGGCCGTTGGAGCTTGAGCGAAAACGAGACATCGCGCCGCACACTGGGGGTGGCCGTGGCGGTCAAGGCCAAGATCGGAACCTGCGGCAGCTGCTTGCGGATGCAGTCCAGCTGCCGATAGGAGTTGCGGAAGTCGTGGCCCCACTGGGAGACACAATGGGCTTCATCGATGGCCACCAGATTTATACCTAGAAACCAGAGAAACAAATTCCATTACTCGGACTGTTCATATATACGACGAGCCAAGATAATGTGAAAACAACTGGCTACAGGAGATGTCCAACTTCAATATTCGGCTGAGAACAGACCTCTGCCACCACGCACCAATACACAGTCAACAATGAGTTCCCTGGCTAACACAAAGCTTCTGGCCGGCTGCGGTGGCTGCGGTGGCTGGCAATGGGAAGTGCCGGAGGGAGCAGCAGAAGACAGATACGAATCTACACAGTGATTCCTGTATCGACCCCCAAGTATGTGTTAACAAACAACAGACAAGCCACATGTAATATGACTCTTAAACGAGACACATGTATCAGTCAAAAGTCAGGAATATTCAAAAGTGTGATGGTCTGTGGCGACGGTCGAAAGTTAGCAAACATACCCACACTCTGATGGATATTCTTCAGAAAGGACGAGCCGACTGTAAGGTACTCCGGTGTCACGTAAACAAGCACGTACTTGCCGCTGAACGAGTGCGAGGAAGATAAAGCATAAAAACAAAATTAATCCAACGTGCCCATGCCACAATGCACACAGCATACTAACATGCCATGGTGGCAAAAATCATAGCACCAGAAATCGCATACAGAACACTACACTGTGCAAGAACAATAGTCTTAAGTTCGCACAACTTCCGCAAATGGGTTCGAAGATAAACATGAGATACTTCAATTGAGTGCACGCAGTACAACCCTTCACTCTGGATATGAACATAAAAAAATATAATATAAAACTAATATGTACATGTACATGTACTTACGCTTCAACATCTCTCAGACACGACGTGTCTGTTTGTGCTGAGCCTAAAAAGCAGGCAGAAACGCCAGCTAACCTGTGGAAACAAAAACGAACAACAGGTATAATTATGGTCAGCCCGACAGTGAATCAAAGACGAACATATCTACAATACGCATGTACACGTGTGCAAACTAACATCCATAGGAATACAAGCACACTGACAGGGTTCCAAATTAGAGACTACCGATGTCAGTCATGGCATGGACAGTGTCCAAAATGCATCTAGTACTAGTACGTGTACTGCTATGTTGTTCTTGATCGACCTATCTGGGTCATGCCTCGCATGCAACAGGTCTTTCCTAGTCATATTCACAGAATACTTCTTCCTTGCTCCCCCCGTGCCAAAGCCGACAGAGGATGGCCTGGCAGTGTCGCAGGCACAATGAGTGCTTGGTGAGTTGGTGTGCAGACACTCCTGTCAGACAAGAGCTGATGCTGACCGACAGCAGCCAAACCCCAGATGCACGCTTTCAAAACATCTATGCGCTCCGCAATGGCAGATTGTTGATTTTCGGAGAGCCCAGCTGGCATAGAGTCGGACTCCAGGTTGTTGTTGTTGTTGTTGTTTTTTTGTTTTTAGGTTGTACAGTACCTGTACTGTAAGTCAACAAATTTTCGGCGCATATTTATTTTCGGCCTGATCATTTTTGCCCGAAAATTTGTTGCAGCCGAAAATTTGTTTTGCAAGGTTCAGTGTGACAGTGCATACAGGCAGCAGTAGTACAGGCCGAAAAATTGTTGCAGCCGAAATGTGTTTTGGCCCTGGGAGGCCGAAATTTGAATGGGCCTAAAATTTGTCGACTTACAGTAGTGGATCTACCAGTGTAGCGGTGTAATCTAGACATGTTCAATGCATGTATGTCCCAGCAGCACTATGCACCTAAGTATTTTGTCGCCATCACCTTCTTTGGGTATGCCATTTTTCTATGCAGAAAATGTGCAATTGCGCAACTTTTACCCTATAAATATATCTATGCCGTCATCTGCTTTCATTCGTCACCTACCTCCGCTGAGGAGCTCTCAATGAGCAAAACAGCTATATGGGGATATGCACCATCTATCCAAGAACAAATTTCCTCACTATGGTGCTGTGAATGTGGGCCAAGAGCGCAGTGGGGAGTGGTGGAGTGTTTCAAATTATGTTTACATCAAGCTGGAATAAGTGAAGAAATCAACGAATTTCGGCACAGCACATGCACAGAACAATGAATAGAAGCTGCACCTACTTCAGCGATGTGACTTGATCTTCCATCAGCGATATAAGCGGAGAAACGACAATGGTCATCCCCCGTGCCTTGTCATACATTGCCGGGAACTGATAGCATAAACTCTTTCCATACCCTGCCGAGAAAGCAATCATATACAGAACAATGCTATGAATGGTAACATGTAAAAGATTTCAATAAAGGGGCAGGTACAATGTAGGCTACTACATAACCGAACTAAATACTGAGTATCACACATGCCATTTACTAAATACCGTAAGGCATGTAATTCTAGGTGTCTTAAAAATTCGGTGCCCGAGACTTGACAGGTTTCAGGTGCAATGTAAATTAGGTGATCAGCTTCCCCTTCACATACAGTGCATACTCTAGTGCATTTTAGATATAATTTAAATGTAGGTGCCTCTTTTCTCTACCGAAATCACCGAAAATCGCGTGTTGATCACAACTAACAAAAAAGAATTCCAAATGCTAACAGCAGATACACACCAGTGGCCATGATGACCAGATTGTCACGACGGTCGATTAGCACCGATCGAATGATCTTCCATTGCAACCTGTCAATGCACAAATCCGCGCACACGCCAGCGTGCAAACAAGCATGCACTCACACACACACACACACACACACGATATACACATACACACAACCGCAAACACATACAGCCTTTAGACGCCAAATGCATCACTTCAGTGGAAAGCAATGTGACAAGTGCCTTGGAATAGTGCAAGTCATGTACTAGTAGTTCTGCAGGTGGCTACATTAGCACTACACATACAATTGAATGGTGTAAAGTGAACTGGTTCGGGGGCACTAGCTTTGCACTGCTGCTCGGGTTCCATCGAGCACAACTGTACCATATCAAAATGGATATCTTACGGCCGAAATGATGAGTGCCCAAAGTACTTCTTCAAGCAGAGGATATGCTCAGCTGTTGGTGGCGGTACGTCATCATGCGATTCATCAATGGTCGGTATTTCCCCCTGGCTAGCATCTTTATCGGACGAGGACAAAAGGCTTGCTGCAGAGCCGTCATTGTCATCCAAGTCGCCAAATAAGTCCTCGGCGCTCACATCCCCTAGGAGGCTGTGTTCGTCGAAGGACACATCAGCCTCTTTTTGGACATTGCCACCAGTCGGACCAACAACAGCCTTTGCCGGTGCCTGCACAGACATGCACACAACAGAAAATAATGGAAATGGGGCATTATGATAATGTATCAAAACTCAGAATGAAGAACAGAGCTAATTCCAGGCTCCTCAGCAACATTCCTGAAAAAAATGTATTCATTGCCTTTTCTTGAAGTGGATACAAGCAGAAAAGAAACTAGCGAGTACAATGACTAATGTACTTGTAAAGGTGATAAAGCAGCAGTAAGACGAACAGCAAGAATGGAGATAAATTAGCACACGTAGCACAGAAGCCACTGGTAAATCCAATGAGGATTTTCACGCCATTATTCTAGACAATGGTCACATTGGTGATACAAGCAGCAGCAAACAAGTCCTAATATCTAGCTTTCTTGGCTTTTCGGCTCTACAATGCATTGGAGCTTCAAGGCTGACAGTGCGCAATGCAGTTGTGTCTACAATTTGGTGCGTTCTTTCATGAAAAGTGATTTATTTTCGGCGAAATATGGTAGTAGCAAGAGAGTATGCAGTCTCTGAGGGTTGTGTGCCCTTGGTAGTAATAACAGTACATAAACCATAGTGTGTACTACAACTCTGATTTGTATGGGAAAGTGGAATCCATCGTTTAAGTCAATCTTGGCGAATCATCAGAGCTGCGATCCGCTACAGTGTAATGCTGCGTCAATGCGACCTGGGGCATACGTGTTCACTGTATCTCGACGTCAACACTACGTAAAATGACATATTGGGCTGTCCTGAACCCATATGTGGAGTTGTACGCTTTGGTTTATGTATTCTTGGTAGTAGATACCATACCACTGACACTGTGTTTCTGCTCGTTTTCATGCAGAGATGGAATTTAGTGGATGTACCCAGCTACAATGTAGCAGCAGTTTCAACTTACGCTGTTCGTTTCGGGAATTTTCGTTGTACTGGTTATCGGAACTTTCCTGTGGGATTTCACCAGCAAGCTCTCTGCACGCTCCAGGTTGTCACAGGCCTCAATCAGTGCTACCTGTGCGAAACAGTCGTTGTCGGTCAAAAGTGACTGAATACGCGATACTTTGGCTAGCAACTGTTCTCTCGATACATCGTCCGGTTCATCTTCCATAGCTGCAATGGGAGCCTTTACCTGCAGCCAGCTCCTTCCCTGGCCAGTGGCTCAACCAACACCACTACACACAACTTCAACCCAGCTTCAGAGTCCTCAGGCCTTGTGCAAGACTGCATACGCGAAATCAAGAATCCATGTAAAGAAGACAGATACATCACAAAGCGTCCCACATCACTCATGCACACACAAAACGTGCATGAAAATGCAACAAAGATTTTCGAGTATTTCCAATTTCCCGCGAGTCCACAAAATTGGAGTATTTTTGCCATAAATCATTACTTTTTATGGTACACATCATTATCAACATGATATGTGACACATGACTCAGGAGTCATGACCCCACATATGCACAATTTATTCATGTAGTATTGCACATAGTGGTGGCCTGCGGAAGCGAAGGCTAGTTTGTGTGTTTCTGAACATTCAAGCGATGCCAACGCGAATCCCGCGAACTATTATTATTATTGCACATCCGGATCCGGGTCCGGACGTCCCCGGAAACCGGGGGGGGGGGGGGGGCGGGATCCATGCCATATCCCGTATCCCGCACAGGCCAGGGGGGGGGGGGGGGGGATCGTAGAGTCTACGCCACTGGGTGTTGTAAAACCAGAGGCAGAGAGTAGTATTTAGGGTACTACTCCCTGTGTAGATCTACGTGGTACACATGTACCCAGAGATCTGGATGTAGGACAGGCCTAGCTAGCTAGCGCCTTGGCCGAACCGTACTCAGGTGTACATAGTGGGCAAGTAATTTCTCACATTCTGCACCTCTTCTTTATCTATATGCCAAATGTGCATGAAACACGCCAGAAGAGCTCCAAATTCTGGGTTTTTTCTGCTGGCATTTATCCGACAAGGGCTTAGGGCATTGACCAAGCAGTGGCATCGTGTATTATACACAAACTTGAAAGAAGGAAACAAAGCGTTTCTACTGTGGCTCACGAGTTTACCGATCATAGACAGCAACAGCTTCCCAAGTGTATATAGATGTCCTTGAGGTTGTGCGAAAGAAGTCATAACGATGGGTCAGTGGAATTCCGGAACCGCTTATGAGTTATGCCAATACAGCGGAACGCAGTGCTTATGCGCGCTGTGTACATGTACGTACATGCATACAGGGTGAGTCGCTAGTGCATCGGGTGCGCGCTCTGTGCCGCGACTTTGCCAAAGCATCTCAACTGATGATGTAATCGCATAGCTATAGTTTGAGGGAGGTGGACTCGATGTTGGTGAAATTCCCGTGCACTATTGCCATGGGAAGAAGTTGGCAACAAAACGTTCATGCACACCCAGCTCCAAAACATGTGGGTGCGCACGCTGCACACACATGTGCACACACACCGACATACACATACACACACAAGCGTGCGCGCGCACACACACACACGCACACCTCAGACCTCAGACATGCCCATCGCGGAAGCGATGATAGCGAACAGCTATGTTAGACATAGCAACTTGTGCTGGGATTACACCATTCAACAGCTTGCAAGGCTGATGAATTGACCGCCACTATTTTTAGCCTGGTATCCACCACACAGCTGTTTGAAGTGACTTTTTCTGGCCAGTGAATCCCTATTTTTCATTTTCAATTTTTTCCTTTTTTTTACACACACACACACACCACACCACATACTCCGGCATACACTGGCTGTTGGTAACCACCCAGGAGAATGAAAGAAAAGTCAGGAAGAGTCCGAGAAAGAGAAGAAAGACGTGTGCGACCATAATCAAACACACACACACACACACACACACATCCCATCATGATTACCATCTTTTCCCTAAAACACGCGACTTTTATTTTTCCAACCACCCTCCGACCCATGCTATTATTGGAGACTGTGCTTTTTATCATTTCAAGCCCACTTTGCCATGTTCCTGCTTGTTTTTGTCAACTTTTGGAAGTTATAATTATTTTCTTCGCACGAGTGTAGTGTGCCTTTATTGGAGACTGTGCTTTATTAGAGAAATTACGGGCATGCCACTAACACACCCCTACAACTTACTTACAGAACCTGTATTATGTAATTTACTACGCACTCAGTACGCAGGCATAAACTCAGTACAATAATTGCGGACAATCCGCCGGACCATTGAAATCCAAGAAATGATGTGCATACCCAGGTAGCTGTGTACAAGTACTTCTTGAAGTACTAGTATACACATGCATTACAATAAACTACTAACTAGGCCGGTTCGGGAAATGTCCTCCACTTTTCGATGTGTACGGCCCCAGCCCCAAATCATAAAATTAATCATCGGGAACATCTCAGCACAGGGCATGTGTATGATCTGGTAACATTCGCTATGATGGAGCTGGTGTGCCATGGTCATCCATACTGGACTTCCATGTCCGCAACTGTATGTTGACAAAAAAAATCATCGCAAGGGGGGGGGGGAGAGTCTACAGCTCACTTCCTCCTCCTCGTTCCCCCTGGAGAAAACGAGAGTCTGAACCAGGTCAGGGTGCACAGTACCATACGTCATACGTAGTCATTCTACCTGGCTGTGGTAGCGGACAGCACTCAGACTCAGACAGAGAAAATAATAGGAGTATCACCATGATCACCACCTGCACCAGAGAGTCATAACATACATGTATGATATTAAAAATTTAATTAATAATAATAATAATATGAAGGCTGCCATTGATTCTACATGTATGTTCTGTTGGCCATCTTGACTTGCTCATGCACTTTACTGTTTCTAGACTCACTGAGTGCTCAGATCCCAAGTAACTATGTCTGATCCCAAAAGCGTAATGACCATGTACAGTAAAACCTGTCAAGGCGACCACTCACTGACCTGTTCCTGAAGACCACTGCAACCAGGAGCAAGGGGTGATAGTTCCAGTCAAATGACTCTGGATAAGAAGACCACCCCTGGTTACAGAGACCAGGTTTTGAAGGTCCCTTGACTTGAGCGGTCGTCTTAGGCAGGTTTCACGTGCATGTATCTGTTTGGTAGTCATACTAGTACATGACTGTCATACCAAGAGTACATAACCCCCGGTACGGGGGTTATGTACTCTTGGCCATACTCATATGAGTCATAGAAGGTGCCAGAACATACCTCACCGTCCAACATGTCCAATACAAGCATCGGGCAAGCCTGGTCAAAGGCAAAGACTGCATGACCGCTGGCCCAACACGCCTCTTATCCATCAAGAGTCAGAAGGAGACTAGTCTGGATGGCCCGATCCCCAATACAACCTCTACTCTGATCTAGCCAGCGTTTCCAACATTGGCAACAAATCCTACCAACATCAGCTCTCTCACGTGCCCCTTCAAGTAACATTGTAGTTAGTTCGGTTCAACTGAGACTCCATTTTTCCTGTAAGGCACAGCTAGTGAACGCGCTCACGTGCAGAAGACTGCCATGATTCTGGCAGACCAGAACGGCAGAAGACAATCATGTCGACAGCCGCCATCGACTTGTTCAGTCGTCCTAGCCGCAGGTGCGCAATAGATGGATTCACAATGATCGCAAATGACAATCCGGAGTCGCACCATAGCCTGGACTGGGTGCAGATGCCCGGGCACCATGGACGTGGTGGCCTAGAAATCTGTGATCTACAAAGATCTACCAAGAGTCTCCGAAATAATTCGACAGCTGATGACATTGACGAAGTCAGAAGATTCTACATTCTACTCCATGATCCACCATGTCCACGGGACACACGCCGTGATACGGGCATGTTGAAACGAAACTGTCGAAAGGGGAGAGAAATGTGACATATTCGAATGGTTTGATCTGACGCGAACCAATCAGCGACCGAGGTGAGGGGGTGTGAGGATAAGATGGCGCCGGTTTTGGCATTTCAAGCCTTCAAACTCAAAGAGGGTGAACGTGCACGAAACAAATCGAGCTGTACACACAGCACGTATTAAATTTTGCATTGTCTACGCATAGCTAGGTTGTGTGTGTGTGTCGATCGAGTGTGTTTCACCAGTCTACAAAATGCAGTGCAGATAACAAGACATGCGACAGTCAGTGGAGTTCAAGTGTTAGTCCTTGGCAAATTTGTTGAGGTGCTGTCATCGAAGTGAGCTTCATTGTAGCTTGAGCGTCTCAGTGATTGTTCTGAACGCGCAGAGAGTGCTTTAGACTAGAATCACTGCGTGTTGTCTTGTGGAATCCAGTGTTGCCCCATGAATGGCGAAAGACTTTGTGGCAGGATGGTGTGGAGGTCGGTGACTGAATGTTTTGTGATAGAGTCGTACTGTCCCCTTGCTAATTATCCGTGCCCTCGGCTTGTTTCTTCTGAGCAGGATGCGCTGGCATATTGGTCGGCCATCCATTTGATACAGTCAAGGTAGGTATCTGGAAGTGTGTTGCCACCGACAAAGCTACAGCGGTGAAATGTTCGCTGTGTGTTAAATTCCCTTTTCTGGCTATAGGTTCGTGTTCAAACTCAACCTCTGGGCACCCAGGGTAGATACAATGGCGTTCTCCATTGTTTCTACAAAACGGTGCAGACGGAAGGCGTGAGTATGCCAGCTAATTCTTTCATGCATGCAGTTGATGTCTTGTTCGCTGCTGAACTGCGCTGGTTGTCTTGTTGTAATATACTGTGTCTCATTCTCAATATAATTATTGCTCCATTTCAGTGACTCTGTCTAATGGAACTAGAAGTACTTCCATCATCGTGCAACCCAGGTGGTGCGTTTTACCGTACCACCTGGAGCCAATATAAGCACATGTGCATGCAGATGCGGAGAAACACTTGAACTTGAACACAGTACATAAATAATCATTATTGTGCTGTCCTGCCCCCAAAAACAGTCTGTACAGAATCAATTCTCACACAGTCCCAGTAGTAGCTGAGTACTAGTAAAGGTTGTAATGACCACTCTGCCTGTATAGTCTGAACCAGCACCGTGTGTACCAGAAGAGAGGGAGTGTGTGTGTGTGTGTGCGCGCGCGCGAGCGCGCGCACATGTGCATCAATGCTGGTCTGCACAATACGTGAGCGGTCAATTGTTTCGGGTATTCCCTGAATAAGCGACATGTTGGCGTGCCAGTGGCCTAGCCCATGTGTTGTGCTGGCACTGCTCGGAGTATGTTTAATAGCTTTCTTCGTACGTGTGACAACCACTCAGCATGATCAGTGCCATGTAAACTGTGGTTGCTAGCAAGTAGGTCAGTCATGAATATGCATGCGTATTTAATCTGATCTGTGTGTGTACGTGTATATGTGTGTGTACATGTGTATGTGTGTGTGTACATGTCTGCACATGTGTGTATGTGCATCGTATATGTGCACGCACATGTGTGTCCTGTAGGTGCGCGGTCTTTTCAAGGGTATGCTATCGCCGGTAGTCTTCTCAGCAGGAATCAATGCCATCGTGTTCGGTGTCACCAACAACATGAACCGCTCGCTGAAGAAGACGAGCAGCACGTTCAAGCAGACTGGGCAGCTGCCCCTGGCGTATTACTTTCTATCCGGCGGAGTCGCGGGTTCGCTCCAGAGTCTGGTATGTGGGCCTAGTGAGCTGATCAAGACTAGGATGCAGGTGGACGGGCAGGGAGCTCGCGGAAAGGCCTCTGCAGAGTACCGCAGCCCGTTTCATTGTGCGCGGAAAGTGTACGAACAGCGTGGACTGCGGGGACTGTTCCGTGGTACCTGGGCAACTTGTCTGCGGGATGCACCGGGATTCGGCTTCTATTTCGTTACGTACGAGGCACTCTGTCGTGGACTGCGACCAGACTCATCATTTCCTCCTTGGGTGCTCCTAACGGCTGGTGGCTTTGCTGGCATGTCGGCTTGGTTATTCACCTACCCGCTTGATGTGGTCAAGTCTCGGCTGCAAGCACAGAGCATGGATCCCAAGAAGCAGCTCTATTCCGGAGTGGCAAGTTGCATCCGGAGGAGCTACCAAGAGGGTGGCATTCGCGTGTTCACCAAAGGTCTCAGCACCACGATGGTGCGTGCATTTCCAGTGAATGCCGTAACCTTCTACACAGTGGAAGTACTGCTAAAGTTGATGAATACGCCGTCCAAGATATCATTTCCACATGAAACCGACCCAGTATGAGCTACAGCTCCACCCTGGTGTGGAAGTATTGCTAAAGTTGATGAATACGCCGTCCAAGATATCATTTCCACATGAAACCGACCCAGTATGAGCTACATCTCCACCCTGGTAGCCACTGTGGCACCGCCCAAGTCCGGTTTTATTCCTAGAACTCCAACCACGTTGAAGCCATAGCATAGTTTACAGCACTAGCGTACCACGACGGACTTTTAGGTTCTATACTGTACACGCTTACGTTCTCAAATACTGGCCTTTTTGCATGAGTATTTGACATCCGGTCCTGTGTGACTGGCGTTGAAGACGCAACACGAAACCTCTGTCATTTGTCCGCGACTTCTCAGCTCGGTCTAGTTTCAGTCTTGCGTCGCCAACATACATTTTATAAACAATTACATGAAACATATATCCTGGCCTAGATGCCGCTTTAAATTATTCTCCTTGCCGTACCTGGCAAATCATTCAAAGCTAGTATCCACCCGATGTGTGTATTTTTTTCCTCCAACACATTTCAGTGTGCCCAGTTTCCAATAGGCCCAAACCATATGCCACTTGACTAAGTTAGACGTCAGTCACAGCCCTAGTACTTTTTAACTCCTACCTGTAGCTGTTTTTAGATTGTTCTATTTCTCACAGAGAAGCTGACTTTATACATGATGTGTTGTACTTCTTTCCCAGTCCAGCCCAGCAGCCATTTCTATTCTCAAAATTGTATTTAACTAAAAACACACATGGTGCTTCAGGTGAGGCTCCTGTCTTGTTTCAACCAGTGTTGCGTTTGCTGTTGTCTCTCAATTGAACACGTTTTTTTTGTGTGGTTTTGTTTGATATGCCAACATCTACACTGGTGCAGGTGTGTGTGTCTGTGTGCTTGTGCGTGCATGCTTCCGTGTTTTTGCGGCCCGGCGTGACATTGACTCGCTTGATTGGATTTCATTGAGCAGCACTGTACGTACTATGAAACCTTACTCAAGAAATTCTGTATCATTCTGCTTTGTGTAATACCAAGAGTACATAACCCCTGGGGTTATGTACTCTTGGTAATACCTGTACTCCCTGCTTGTATCCAGAGAGTCGTAAAATACCTGGTATTTTACGACTCGTGCTTGTATCGCTTCGAAGCCTGTCAGTCCCGAGCACAAACCAGATTCTCAAGGTGGATGCCCGATACATACATGTAAGCTTGGTGTCTGTGTTCACATGCCAAGCAATGCCCCCAGTTGAATGGTACATGTACTTGTAGTAGATACCAAGAGTGCTTGACTTAGGCTTGTATTTGCCAGCACACGAGTGAAACTGTTTTTAGAGAGTAAAATGAATGTCCATCTCTGTTCCTAAGGCACTTGCAATGCCCGCTAACAATCGGAATAACCCAGAATTTACACTGCATCTGCTTTTACACGGCTTCACGGTAACAACTTACTTGAAAGCCAGCAACAGGACACATCAAGGATACAGTTCCCTACGTAGTTATAATCCACATGCTCTCTCTCTCTCTCTCTCTCTCTCTCTCTCTCTCTCTCTCTCTCTCTCTCTCTCTCTCTCTCTCTCTCTCTCTCTCTCTCTCTCTCTCTCTCTCTCTCGATTTGCATTCCGTTACATTGCACCAATGAGTATGTTACGTCCTTGTTTTGGTGGTATTCTTGCGGTGCAGTTTTCTATGCAGGGAGCTTCAACACAATCTTGACCACAATTTAGCCTGAAAAGGCAGGAAAAAATGGGTGACAGTGCCAGGGGTGCCCAGGAAATGCCTGGAAAGCCATGGATAAAACTGTGATTGCTGTCAAGAACAATTGAGGCAGTAGGTACGGGGCTATCTGTGGCTACTCTGTATGGCTGCATGACATGCCTGCATTGCAACATGCTGAAAACGAAAATACGCAAGATCATCAATTGGTTGCCAGGCTAGTGTGCCGGGCATTGGAAAAGGAATGGTTCTGCAAACAGCAGAAACTGAATGAAAGCCGTGTACACCAGTGAGCTGCCGAAACAATTCCCTTGGCTGACACGCTGCTACCGCTCTAATGCCAGCCTACTGGACACTCAGTGGTAGAGAAGTGGCATGGAACGAATGGACAGTGCCATGGAATGGCGGTGATGGCGGCCTGTAGCAAAAGTGAAGGGCAAAATGGCAAGCCAGACATACTCGTAAGTCAAGGTTTTCGGTGTGTCACGGTTACCAAGCTGACCTGCTCAATCGGGGCAACCATATTTTCTGCTAAATTACACAGCCCTTCAACAACACTGGGCGAGTCACAGATAAAATTAGTTATGACTGTAAAAATAATAATAATGTACATGCCCTCTCTAAGTTTTGATTCTGACTATTGCAGTCGAATTTAGCCGGATAAAATGCATACTACCTGAGATAAGTACCGGTACAGTGTGTGCAGGTACATACATGAATATGACAGGGTTAGACCTGCATCATTTTTTGTAGAAGAAAACTACTTCTACGCTACGCTCAAGTCAGTTTGGAAAGTTAGTCGGAGCCCAACCGGTAGTGCCCATCCCAACATTAGTACTTCAAGTACGTTGCCACCACTAAATTCGTAAAAGGCCCCGTACTGCATGATTGTAGTATTCATTTATGGGCTTTTATTGGGCGGTAGGAATCTCACTAATCTATGCTGTGTGGGAAGGTGTAACGTCTGTTTGTTTTCTCAACTTCACTCCTACCATCACAACGACCACAACCACAACACCCACCTTTTCATGGTCGTGCTTTGAAGGTGTGGTGGACGAGCGAGTCCTCTCCGTAGGTCATACAAACTCGAGTATACATCGTTACAAAATGTCATGTCGTGTATTCCGTACGTACCTATTGTACAGCTTTGAGCGGAATCGAGATCCACACAAGAAGCTGGCATGGGGTCATGCATGCAAAACCCAAGTGCATCCGGGTTCTTACTGTACAATCGGTAGTGATAACAGTTGCAGCCTACCATGCGATTGGTTTTACCTTCATACCTGCATATGTGATCGTTGTGAACTTTGTGCTGCACGTTTTCTGATTATGGCTTGCAATATTTCTCAGGGCCGTGGAACTTGTAAAATAGACAACAAACCGTACCCCTGAAGCTAACAGCACAGTAGCCATGCCGCGGGCAAAGCCGCAGACAAGAGCAAACGATCACCTACATCCAAAAAGTTCGTTGGAGTTCATGCAGTCCGGCCACAAGCTGGTCTCAGTGGTAAAAAAAAAATTATTATAATATCTGATCCATAGTTATCTAACTACAGCTGTATCTTCTTCTTGGTTCTGTTTGTCCGCTTATTATTATATTTTCTTTTCTCTTATTATCAGTGGGACCATTGTCATTAGGTTTAGGCCTGTTTTGGAACTCCACTTTAAATAAAGCCAAACAACACAACAACAACATAGGGCTCTGCTTGCCAGGAATTTGTCCAGGAGCCCACTGGGAATGCCGGTGAACATGTGTTGATAAGATACTTGACTATATCATTGTATGGTTGGTATGAAAGGCAAGAAAATGTTCTCTTGCCTAGAAATGTCGGCCAGAAGTTAATTCTAAAAAGGGTCAGAGATGGTAACGATGGTACTCCACATCTGGTAGTAGCCACATGATTATAAAAATTAATAGTTTTGTCATTGCTCTATAGTGTTATACAAAGGTACGCGAAGTGTGCAATATTGTTGGGCCTGGAGATCAGAGTATGAGTTTATCTTCTCTAACAACAAGAAGCCTGACCCAGCAGCAGAAAGATACCTTGCCTGAAGCATTATGGTGATGTGAAATACACACGCTTACTTGTAGCAAAATGTCACACACAGTAATAATTATTATGTGCGCGTCCAGAGTATTTGAGAGAAAGCACGTTGGCGGAAACTCAACACAAATCAGAATGGAATCACACTGTCGCGAGGTATCTCTGCTTGCATAGGAACTGAGCAGATACTACTGTCTGTACATGTGCAATCTATATCAACTCAGAGATATCAACCTCAGAGGCATACGGCAGCACCACACAATGTTCTGCTCCCAGGTATAGGCTGTGAGAGGAGAGGTGGGGTGTAAGAATGATAAAAAGCCTATGCCAGTTTACATGAACCCCTACGGTTACCATGCACCAACAGCAGAATATACCATTGCGTTTCATTCGAGGAGCACACTAAGCTATTTGGAAAGGAAGCGGAGCTGGCATAGCAATCAAAAGAATGAGAAGACATTTTAATGATCACTGGTTGCATACGGAAATGGGAATTGCAACAGACCCCGGCTGCATGCTGCAATCTCAACAACAGTATTATCTAATAGTATGCGGAGAAAGTCAATGCAGAGAGAGGGAGCGTGAGAGAGAGAGAGAGGGAGAGAGTGTTGAAGCAATTGAGGCCTCCGTTATTGATAAGTACACTTGAAGTGCATATATTACTGCAAGGCCTTGTCACAAAATATAGTGCTGCGAAAAGTCATCAGCATCGAAAGAAAGTCGAAGAGTATGCATCTCGAGTCTCCAGTCATAGGGCACTCTTGTAAAAGTCACATAAATCTTAGTCGCATGGATGTCGCATGTGCACGACGTATCAACCGCGTCCACAGTAGCAACAGAGTAGTAGACTGGGATGCCAGCTCACTTTAGAGAAAATCGTACACTTTCGTTGCACTAGATATTATCACACTTCAGTGGTTGAGATATTAGCTGTTCAAGATTGCTTTAGTGATGGCCTGCAGAAATTAATCCAACACAGAAAGGCTAACTTAGGAGTTCACCCTAACTCCAGAATACCAACAGTTTAAAGTACATTAGTAGTTAGGGTAGTTAGGGTAGTTAGGGGGTTGCTGCTCTTATCAACTCTATTACACATACACAAGTAACGGTCAATATGCATGTGTATGCTACGAGTATGCGATGCTTCAGACATAATTTAGGATAGGCTCCAGGGGCGAAACAAGGCTCAGCCCTGCTACTAGAGGCAGATTCAGAGGTACATGCGGTGGAGAGGGGGGGGGGGGGGATTTATCTCTCTCCTTGCACTCGTGGCCTGGCACGAGGGAAGCATGGATGCAGCGAATGGGATTTTCGGTCTTTGACCACGTTGCCATAGGTCTGATCTCCTCACCTCCCACCGCTTTAGGAGCTGCATCTGCGCCTTGATCCTTGAAGGGCGGGGGCGTTCCTACGGATGTGGAAAAGTCGGCCTCGAGCCGAGTCTCATGTGAACCGTGAAATTGTTATATATTTTTTGCACAATGTAAATGGGCAACTGCATGGGTATGCATGCCGCAGCGCAGCAATATTTTCCACTGGCTTCCATTTGGAATTGCCAGAAAGGAGCAGAAGACGGACACCCCATCCCAGACCTGGCCTTGATCACCTCTGATCTTTTACAAGCCTTTGCAGGTTCTGCATCAATTAGTAAATATTACACTAAAACAGATATGTCTCTTACCTCCCTCGTGGCGCTCATCAATGGTTGTTGTGGACCGATTCGATTGGGCAAAGTAATCGGCCTGCTTGCCCCCAGCCGGATTCTTACTAGCTTCGATGGCGGAGTTCGACTGCCAGTAGGCATCCTCGACAGGATGTGTGAGATAGCGATGTCCGACCTGACCTTCCAAGCCACGCAGGTCTAGCCAAGTTTGGCGAGTCTAAGAGCACAACGCAACACACACAGCCATAAACAGCATATACTCTATATGGCCAGGGAAGCACGCACACATTGCAAGTGCATATTCGGCACACCTACTGATTTTGGTATGCGTACGAAACATTCACATGTGCAATGTACACCGAGGGATGGCCCGGAGTAAGGATCTTTCAGATATGTGCATGATCACCAGGAGGTGGGAGAGCAGGTGTTGAATAGACTTCATGGTACATGTAGTCACATGCAGCAGCTGTGCACGAAGTGGTTGAACTAACCTGCAGCCAGGTGTGGTGGAGAGCCTTGACCACTGTGTAGCGTCTCTTCTGGTTGACTTGAAGCAGGCAGTTGATCAGTTCGATAGCTGCAACGATAGATGCAGACAACACTTGAAACATTTGGGATGGCGCAACTCACTCCGAAACTCCCATATTAACCCGCTTGATCGCCTCTTTTCTGCAATGAAGTCCATGACTGTGAGAAGACTAACTAAAGCCGTAACAGTACATATTTGGGGAGAGGGAATGGGGGGGGGGGGGGGGCAGGGGAGTACATCTACATCAATGGCACATACATGACCTGACTCAACCAATGCTGAAACAGCCTAAGAAGTAATCCATATCTACCCACGGAATTTTGTTCTGCTGGAGTGGTGGTGAACATGGTTGGCTGGAAAGTACGTGCGGCGGTGGGGAATTCGGAATTCTTGCTGAACCAACACCAGGCCAAAAGTGCTGCTTAGCCACCTTCAAAGCAAATACTCTACCCACCGACCCAACATTGATGTTAGTTACCTATCCATCTCTCCTCATTGCTCAGATTTCAAGACAATTATTCCACAGCTCCTCACTCCAGTGCCTGTCCTTGCCAAGTGTTTCATCTGTTCCCATTTTGCTTTCAAGGAAGGGAGTTAATCAGTAAGTTCAAAGTTCATGTTATAACAAAGCCAATTTAGACACGTGTTGGCAATGTGGTACTGGCAGCTCACCGTCCTTGCTGATCTCTCCCCATGGATTCTCTGGGTACATGAAGGCAGCGTTCTTGATCTGATCCGCTATCTCCTCGTCCTCATTGAACGGAAACGTGCCACTCAAGCTGTAAAGAAGCACACCAGAGAAAATGGAGACACGCGATGAGCGAATGCAGAGCAAGAACAATGACAATCATGCTAGACGTTTAAAAAATTAAAATGCTAAAATTTATTTGGAGTGTAGCATGCACTGCATTCACGGTACACACATGTAGTATGAGCCATGACACTGCTTTGTAGATAGTGTGAGGCACGCAACTGTGTTTTGCAGACCAGTGCTTTTGTAAACGCCAGTAGTGAGCATATCCAGTCACTGAGTAGTGAGCATATCCAGTCACTGAGTAGTGCTGACCTGACGTAGGTGATCACTCCAACAGACCACATGTCCAGCGATCGGTTGTAGCCCTTGCTGCTTAGCACTTCCGGCGCTGTGCATACATACACACACAGACACAGAGACACACACACACACGCACACGCACACACACACACACACAGAGGACAGAGAGGTGATATAAGTTAACTGCCGTTGTGATCACAATGCTTGCAAAGAGACTATCTAAAGGGATACCAATCATAACATACACCAGCATGTCAGCTATAAAAAGGGATGTTGCGATTGTGTCTACAGGACCAGCCAGGTCCATAGTATCAGTGAAATAACCATCAACAAAATTTGTAAGAAATTCAAGTGGAACATTGGATAAATCAAGTGAATGACTACCACCTGGCTACCCCCTTTCGCATGGCCGCAGAGCATGGCTGTTGTACTCTGCATGCAATGGTCATCGCACAAACCCAGTCTGTTTCGCAAACAGCCCAAATGGCCCATTTTAGACCCAGAAATCTACAAAACGACCTGTTCTTATCCTGTAAGACGTGATTTCATAACAAGTTGGAAATACAACGATATGCCAAAAACTCATCAGATGGCGAAAAGGAAAAACGATCTCGCAGATTATATGCATACACACACATAGCATGTTGGCATTTTGCAAGTGTAATGGTACATTCTAGCAAAGGTTATATTTACAGGTCTACCCTCGTTAGTAGAAAACCATGGGGGGGGGGGGGGGGGGGCTCAACACCATTCTTTGCCGTACAGCGGTATGGTCTACCATCAGGACTTGCATGTATGTGTAGGACACGATTCACAAGGAGATTTGGGATGGTTGTCTACTGATGAGGGGTTGTCTTGTAACCAATGTCGTAACGTTACTAACTAGGGTAGACCTGTACTTCCTCCTGTCACAGCGGGCACAGCACACTATGTCTTTCTCCGTGCAGTCTGCCACTCACCTAGATACGCCGGAGTGCCGACGACCGACTTGCGGAAGCCCTTCTCGCCGATGATACGGGCAAAGCCAAAGTCGCAAAGCTTGATCTGCGGCATGCTCATGTCTCCTTTCAGCAAGACGTTTTCCGGTTTCAGGTCGCAGTGCACTATGTTCTTGCTATGCAGGTGTTGCAGAGCAATCAAGATCTGCAAACACGAAAGAATATCATGTACATAGAGATTACATGATTGTACTTCTGCCCAGTGTAACCACGGTTACTTCGTGATCTGAGATAAAACAAGGCCCTTATGCCTGTCAAAACCTAACGCCACCCTATTCATAATGTGTAGATATTGTTGATCACCAGAGTAAACCGAGACAGTGCGAACCCTGCATGGACGAGGGTAACATTATTACCCTCATCTGTGAAGCCCCTGTACAGAGCCCAGATATTAGCACTATAATCTGGGTAGGAAAACACTGCCCCCCCCCCCCCCCACACACACACCCTAATATGCTGGTAGCAAACACTATCCACTCAAATCTGTTTAAAATACCATACCCAAGAAACTGACCTGGAAAACTAGGAAACGAGTGGTACGTTCACTGAGTCTTCCGCCATTGCTGGACAAGATCATCTCCAGCATGTCACCCTCCATCTTTTCCATGACAACGAACACACGATCAGGCGTCTCAAACATGCGCTCTAGGTTGACGACGCCCGGATGGTTCAGCGAGTGCAGGATTGCTACTTCATTCTTCAATGCGGACTCCTGTTTTGATGGGAATCGCAGTTTGTCAATCACCTTCACGGCAACTTGTCTTCCAGACAGTCGGTGTACACCTGGCAGTAGAAACAACAATCAGCGGCAAAGGGCGTTCATGTCCATGCTTTTAACAGCAAAAATCCTCGGCCATTCAACACTATCTACCTTCACTGACGAGAATTTTATACTCGAAACAGCTATATGAAGGAATTCAGTACCGGCGGGTGTGTCCCTTTGCTGATGGTGTGCCGCGTGGCAATGTATCGAGGTCGGCTTGTTAGTTCGCAGATACTGTGGTGGTTGATGAAAATACCCTCAGCATAAGTAGAATAAATCAAAACCTAGCTTCTCAGTCTTCTCTAGAGGGAAGTGGTAACCTGCAGTCAAGTTCTTGAGGAATGAGTTTGACCCAATGCCAACATGGAAAGGCAAATATTGCACTAGTAGTGGGCGCTGGACATCTAGCAAAGACAAGCTTGCAATGCACAACATTGCCAGTACTAGTAAACTGGCACGCACTGGCGATCGACTGATGACTCACCAGCATACACGATTCCAAACTGGCCGGAGCCAAGTGGCTCATCCGGGAAGATCTGGTACATGATGCTGATGTCAACATTCGGTGACTCATACTGCACACGTGGAAGACACCGGGACAACAAGTGACACACTTATTAACATCACTCTATTACCAGACTCCAACTGGAAGAATCCTGCAAGACTATTGGCGCCAGGAAAATTCTTCAACGGTGAGACAAACCGGCACCTCTGTCTCAAAGCAAAATTGGGTAAGGGAAGTAGGAAGTGTATGGTAAAGTACACCAGTACATAAGTACATAAGGAAGTCTGTGGGATGTGTTGATAGTTGCATGCAAAGACCTACAGGAAAGACCGAGACCATCCACTGATAAATGCCGTGCATGTAATTGACCGGAGCATATCACATTGGGATACTGATTGGTGACTGGCTAGTACTTAGCATTTGCACAATGTACGGCCAGTACAGTCGGTGCACAGTGTTTTCACCGGGGCTTACCTGACGGACGGACTGAGTATGTTGCGCATCAGGATGCTGTGTGATGCTGGAATCATTGTGAATGTCTGTGCTGGGAGGACCGCCTAAATCCATGGTATGCACACAGACACACATACATGCGGGCACACACATACTGTTATGAGGATGCTGCTAATACTCTTCGAAGTACATGTAGTTGGAATGTGGTGATCTCTCTTCACTCGGGGCGATAGCGTATGAGCAGCCTTTACCGCGACAGCAGTGGACGGCGCCAGTGACATAGGGATAACATAATCGTAGCACAGTGCACGCAAACTGACCAGTCCCTTCTGCAGCCACATAGCAAACTGGACCCACGAGCTCGCAGCCACACAGCTATTCCGCAGTGACAACTTACGTGGCGACGCAGACTCGGTCACACTGACAACAGTCTTGACACTTGGCTTGGGAGTTACGGGCATGAAAGCGGCACGGATAGCCTTCTCCCACGGCGTTCCCTGCTGCTCACCCACCGCTTGCTTCAGAGCATCACGCAGGGTCCAGGAGCAGCGTTCTGGGAGTGCAATCGCACCATTGCTGAGCAACGAGCTTCGTTCTAGTGACGGTACCCGCTCACCAACATAGAACACCATATCCTTGGGCATGTTGAACTCAAAGCAATGTGGAGTGCTGTTGGGAGGTACCGGAGTGGCCGAGGTTGGTACCCCGATCATCAGAATGTTGGAGAGAGCGATCTCCTGTATGGCAGCAAAAACGTGACTACAATGTAAATGTTATACAGTACAGGCAGGCGATCATCATCACAATATAGCTCGCGACTGAGAAGTATCACCAGGCAGCCTCATTTGCAATGTTCAACAGTATTCTACGCAGCCTCTTTTGCAATACATAATGCATTAATGGCATAGTATGCAGCCACCGTTTTTATTTACTCTATTTCATGCACTTGCGGTTTTCTTCATTCAGCTCTATTTCACGTACTTACCTAGGGTACCCTGTAAAAAGACTTACAGTCTACTACTACTACTACTACTACTACTACTACTACTACTACTACTACTACTACTACTACTACTACTACTACTACTACTACTACTACTACTACTACTACTACTACTACTACTACTACTACTACTACTACTACTACTACTACTACTACTACTACTACTACTGAACAAGTCCGACTTTCGAGATGCGGTGTGCATACGCTATGGGTACCTGCCACTGGATGTCCCGTGCAAATGCGCTTGTGGAGCGGACACCACCCTACACCACTCGATGACGTGTCCACATGGGGGGTACCCGATGGCACGTCATGACGAAATCCGGGACACCCTGGCGGCTGTCCTTGGCGATGTCGTGCCAGACGTGGAGGTCGAGCCTAGACTGCTCCCTCTCGATGGCGAGGTGCTCGCCGGCCGGACCGCCAATCGCAGCGCTGAAGCTCGTTTGGACATCAGGGCCGGGGGTTTCTGGACAAGGCAGCAGGACGCTTTCTTTGATGTTAGGGTCACCCACCCTAAAGCGTCCCTGCTGTCGCGTTCGGAAGCCCTTGGCCAACTGCGCACCAGCGAGTTGGAGAAGAAGCGAAAATACTGCCAGAGGATCACGGACGTCGAGCGAGGTGCCTTCACTCCGTTGGTGTTTGCTACGAATGGCATGGCTGGGGCAGAGTGTGGAATGTTCCTGAAGCGGCTTGTTCAGCGCGTGGTGGAGAAGCACTCTGACCTACAGTACTCCGTCGTCATGCACCATCTTCGTGCCAAGATTGCCTTCTGCCTCCTCCGCTGGGCCGTAACCTGTCTGCGTGGATGCCGGGGAGCTCGGGGCGTACGCCGTGGCAATTCGTTTGTCACGGAGTGCAGGCTGCTCCGGTAGTGGCATGGGGCTGTGTGGCCGATCCTAAACGGATGCTGTGACGTAACAGACATATCTGTTTTTGAGCATGTCTTTGTTTTTTTTTGTTTTTTTTTGTTTTTTTTTTGTTCTACTTTTATAATAGTTTGTTTTGATTTGTTTATCGGACAGATCGAAATAAGCATTCACACGCAGACAAATTATACATCCACCACCCTATTGGTTTATGATGTTTTTACACATATACCCCCAATAGGCTATTTATCAGACTCGAGTTTTCAACTTACACATTCCACATTCACCACTCAATCGGCTTTTGGTTTGTTCACACATACGTACCATACGCGAACTATTGGACTTGAGTTTTACCTTGTGTCCTTTTTTGCAGTCAGCAGATTCTTTTGTTGGACATTGTTTATTGAGTTTCTTGTTGCTTTTGGTTTACGCATATGCGTCATTTGCCCGTAAAAGAGGCCTTGTTACTACTACTACTACTACTACTACTACTACTACTACTACTACTACTACTACTACTACTACTACTACTACTACTACTACTACTACTACTACTACTACTACTACTACTACTACTACTACTACTACTACTACTACTACTACTACTACTACTACTACTACTACTATCAACAGCTGCTGGAAAAGGGCTCAATGCGCTAAGCGCAGAGCATTTTACCTGTAGAAGATGAGAGACCACTCGGAATTAGTTGCAACTAATTCCGAGTGGTCTCTCGTCTTCCACATAACAGATTGTACTCTTTCTCTTTTCAGAAATCACAGTATGCACTCAGACTCCAATTTATAACCGTGCTGCATGAACTCACACATACGCACGTTCACACACATACACACGCACACGTTCACACACACACATTCACACACACACACACACACACACACACACACACACACACACACACACACACACACACACACACACACACGCGTTCACACACACACGCACGTTAACACACACATACACACACGTTCACACAAAGTGAACTAGTCAGTGATTAAAATGCCTGTGGCACTCCATGAACAGTGCAGGAAAACAGGATGAACTTACCTTGTGGACACGTGTGCTCTCCGGCGATTTGTACATCAGTATGGTGCGTGCATCCAGTCGCCAGTACAGCAGCTTACGCTGAACAACAAACAAGTCCCAAACACACCATGGTAGGGATGTCACCTTGAGAACATGGAAACACGTCCAATCAACTGAGTGAGCTGCAGGCGTAACCTTCTTCATTGCATATCAACACTGCAATTGAGGAATAGTCTGCTCATGAAACAGGAGAGTTCACTATTATAATACTACATGTCTACTCCAGTACACAGAACACCACATCAACATCAACACACACACACACGCGCGCGCACACACACACGCGCGCACACACACACACACACACACACTTACATGGGGATCAAGGGACGTGAAGTGCACCACCCAGCCCTCCTTGATCACGTCGCGCACCTCCGAGCGCTTGGAGTAGTTGGCGGACATGGCAATGCGCATCAGCGGGATGTTGGACGACGTGTTGCTCTCGCTGACGTGCAGGGACACTTTGTCGGACGACGACGACGTCCCACTCTGATGTATAGGACTAGTGACCTGACCATCGGAGCTGGTTCCATTCTGCTCAGGCCGCCTGCCACCGCTGCTGCTGCTGCTGCTGCCATTGTTGCTCTTCGATGGCGATGCATTCTCCGCATGTTTTTCGTTGGCCTCGTCGACACTCTCGTCCACACTGGACAGCGCTTCACTGTTGTTATCGCTGGAGCGGCCACTTTCCTCCAAATGTAGCAGCTCTGAAGGAGAGAGGAGGATATCATTGGTAAGGAGCTGAGCGGATGGAAAGCAATTTGAGCGCAAAACATGACATTCTCTGACTTTTCATATCGATGATAAGCCCTGGTTCAAATTTTGGAAGTGGAGAATACTTGCATAAGTCGCCAGCTCTTCTAAGCTATCTTACAGCCAACCTCCCGGAAAAAGGTATCCCGATGATAGCACTATCATAATAATGAGTAATTTAGGCTGTCCATCACAAACCGGTACAGGAAATCTCCGTCCAGGATGTTGACATACCTTCAATGATTTCTCCAGTGCAATTCTTCTGCACTAACTCCATGCACCGGCGGTGAACATTGTATTTGCAATCTGCAGAAGCGTAAATGGAGCAAGGCAAAGAATCAAACAGATCTCCAGAAGGCTCAACGTAATGAACTGCATGCTTCAAGTACAAACTCATGCATTGACAAAAGATAAAGCGAGACAAGTTCAACAAGGCTGATTTAACATTCACAGTGATTATTTTACTGTGCATCAAGAGCAGCCGCTAAATGGGGGTTCACAGTTGACGTGCAGATGTTAGAGAATGAATATCTTCAAACCACTTGCGTTGCATGACCGCCGTAAAGTATTTCATGCCCACGCATGCGCATGTGTGTAGTGTGCGGAAACCATTCGCACTGTCTCAGCCCTGAATCACGTCTGGACAGTGTACTGTCGAAGCGCGAAATTCACTCACGTACATGCATATTCCTACGCAAGCGATGGATAGAATAGAGGTGATCAGCGCATGGTTGTGATACCGACCGCAACCTACCTTTGCAACGCATTCCCTGCCGGAACACACCGACAAGAAGACGACGACAGTACATGCAGACGGTGGGTCGCTTGAAGCTGTGCACGACAAACGTGTGCGGCACTTGCACACTGCCCGCCTGTCCGGCAAGCGCTCTGTCGATCCACGGTGGCCTGCCACTCCAGGACTTGGAACGCCGTGGTGCCAGGGCAGGCGGCGAGGCAGGCGAAGCACGCGTAATGGTAGAGGGCGAAGACGACATGGTGCTGCTGTTTGTCGAAGAGGTTTCGTCAATCGTCACCTGGCTGCTGGTCACCGAGGCGGGCATGGTGGCTGAGGACGAAGATACACTGTCAAAGCTTCCTGCGTAGTGCTTGGCACTGAGCGTTGATATACTGCCGTTCGGAGAATGGTGCTGGTTTTGCTGGCTTTTGCGACCAGAGCAGTCGTTGGGAATCTTGTAAGCACATCGCTTGTGATAGTTGTAGCCACAGCCTGGGGAAACAAACAACAATGGCCACATGGCAGAGTCACAACATAGGCCGGAGTCAGCACACGGATCAATGAGATATGCATCCAGCAGGAAAGAATACGACCCTCACACGTTTTGTTCATACGATTCAAAACTTGCCAGAGGAGGGAAAGAGGTCGAACAAATTGACAATTCGTAAATATACTGGTCGAGTTACTGGCAGTTCAATGACTCGAATAAAATAAACGCCAGTGCTAGGTGTCAGACTCAGCAAGTCTATGCTCTCACCACTGCATTTCAGGCCCTGGCGGATCAGGCCAAACAGCATCTGTCCGCAAAAGTCGCAGAACGCCGGTGACCGGTACGAGTGGACAGAGAGCGAGTGCGGGCATATCCGTGTCTCGCTGACTTGGGCACGTGCTGCACATACGGTAGATACGCAGAAGAAGACACACGGCTATGGTAGATACAAAAGAAAGCACATGGCTATGATGTGAAGCAGTCACACTGCTACAGCAGAAACCGATTAGGAAACTTAATTCGGAACTTGATTTGGGTGTGTATTCGTCTGCTCGACTGTGTTGGATTAAAGTACACCTCCACCTCCGACAGGGTCAAGTTAGTGTTTCAGATATAGATGTACACTCATGCACACGTAAAGACTCAGTAGCTAATGGCAGCATACGCAACTGCACGTACTTTGCGACTCAGGGAAATCCCCATCCATACTGGCCCCATATCAGATCAGAGGCTGATTGCGAGTTACAGGTAGAGTAAAACCTGTGACTAACGACCACCCCTGGGGGCCAGAGAAAGCGGTCTTTAGTGACAGGTGGTCCTTAGTTAGAGGTTTGCACTGCACAACCATTATATTATGAACGTGAGAGCGTCCGTGCCTGGCGAAGTGGTCTGTGGTGCCAGGCTGGTCGCTTTAGTTACAGGTTTTACTGTACTTGGATAACTGACTAATGATCGTAACACCACAAGCTGTGCTGGAAATAACCGTCAAAAATAAATTGTATTCCTCTACCGCACTAGTGCACAAACAACATCCACTGAGTGACACCGCAATACACCGGCATATTTCTAAAAATATGATCCCATCAAGCCAAGTGGACACAGCTGGTTATACACGTACATGTGCACAGGAAATACTGGCTGAGCAACATGCTGTGGAGTCATGCGCACCTTGATGACATCTGGCACCATAGTACCTCAGTACTAGTGTATCGCCAGGCCAGCAGCACCAGATCGGTATCACTGACAACGGATTCCTCAGAAAGCCTAACCACAGTTCCGGAATAACAATGCTAAACGAAACCGGCTGTTACACCCTCACGGTAGCAATTAGAATACATCGAAAAACTGCACTAGGAAGCACAATAAAAGTAGCTGGGCCACCAATCTTCCACAGTACACATCTACTCCACTTACTTGATAAACTTATGCCCACGATGCAGTCATTCTTCAGATCGCTAACACTGTTGATGCGTCGGAACGGCAACTGGTCTGCGTTGTCCGTCGAATCGACGACGCACAGAGTCAGCGAACCACTCAGGTTTATGTACGGATGATCGGGGTACTGCAGCCCAGACAAATACACGCAGGGTATATATACACAGTCAGAAGAACAGTCCCCCAACACAACTCAGAACCTTCCGTTTCCTACAATTTTTGTGTCAATTTTCAATTCCCGGAGAGAGAGATTAACGCAGCGCTTACCTTCCGGTAATGCACACTAATTTTATAGTCATATAAGAGCACCCCAGTATATCAGATTAAGTTAACGTACTGTACTGTCAGAATGATGCCGATAATTTATGCACACGCAGCCTTTCCTCGTTGTCAAACAGATATCGTCAATTGCATTATAATGCACCTTCTATGCCCTGTGTAAGCTACAGCTCCCACCAATGAGTTTGTCAACCCACACGTGCCTTTCAAGGCTTTGTGGTGGCCAGATTTCCATTCTTCTATTGGCCAGTCCTGAAGACAATAGTAAATGAAACCGTTCTGCATTTGCTACGTAGCACCAAGAGTACATAAACCAGTACTCTTAGTAGCACTGATAACAATCCAATAGACATCGACACACTGCACAGGGATGAACACAGCATGACGCCTCGGATGGGAAAAAGGACCACATTGCACATGACTTGTATCAGGCCCATGGCGTTGTTCTTCTTGATCTTGTGCGCTGTCACCAATACAAGGTCACCAATACAATCATGTAGTCGTATTTTATTATGTAAGTTTCACAACACAGAATTATGTTATTACTGCACATGCACGCTGCTGTTTCCTTTTTCTCTTTTTATTTTTGTATTCGGGAGTACTACTTCTAATCTTGTAACCAACACGCAACAGACTTGAGAGGTTGCTTGAATTTGCCTAAGGCCTGTGTATCTCAAAGCAGTGAATTGGAGGGTCTGACTCTGAGTTTACTACTCGTACACCGTCATGGCATGCTAACTCCCCAAGGCATACTGTTGCTAGCTTGTTGTTCGGCCATGTCCAGTTGTATGCTAGCTTGTAATGCACTGAGTCTGTCCTACCCAGCTACATAATCATTGTAGGTCTCACTTCAGTTCACTTCAATACTACATGAAGCAGCGGTTGTTCAGTGCGACTACTACTACACTGTAGTAACTCACTTCACGTGTAGTACCAAAATACCGATTGCATAGATCTGAACAGGCTACCAATAGGCGGCACTAGTATATCGTCATGATCGGCGAAGCCCCATCCAGTCTAGCAAGTCCACCCATTTACACGATGCCGCCGTTTGCGCTATACCTAGGCTATGGTCGTAAGGACAGCTGCATAGAGCGCTGGTGACTGTTCGCTGCTTAGGACGTCTCCTAGTTCTTTCTCGCTGGTTGAAAGTAAGTTTCGCGATACGTCGGCTTCCCATCGACCCATGTAACTGCTTGAATAGAAACACTGCATTGATATCGTCGTTTGAACTTTCCGAGCGTAATAACAGTGTTGGCCGAGGATAATGAACTCCGACCATTGTGGACACCAACGACATCGCGATATCGACAGGGCAAGCCCTTGGATTGATTGTCTATAAGCACTCGACAACACGCTTCAACTGTTCAAGTACTTCTAACACATTCCCAGCTACTGAATTGATCCTGGCACAAAATACACCACACACACACGCGAGTCATGGCGGGAGTAAATATGGGCGCAACCGTTGTCCTTTCTCAGTGTTTTAGCCACCTCTCATGACCGTCTCAAGTCTTCATCTATCCAAACTGTCGACAGGTCAACGGCATCTTCACTGATGAGGAAATCAAACTGTGAGGTGCTGCCACCTCGTGAGCATACGCTATGCACGCTCCCTCGCTTCCTCCATTCTATTTTCTCGCTTCACATAGCCGCTAAGGATCGAACGGCACTTACACAAACGGGTTCAAAACAAAAGTGTGCAGCGGGTTGTTGATTTTCCGAGGGTCTGTTTTGGACCGACTACTTTCAACGGATCGACAACTAATCGACACCCGATCGGCTCCTGCAAACAGCCCTGGAGCACACAAGAGCCAACGGATTTGCACCATTTGTGGAACAGAGGAAGGTACTGCCGAGTTCTATCGCACATCAAGCAGCCCACGGCCATGTGTATGGGGTGTATGTTTCCATGTGCGTGTGTATGTGTTTGTGAGTGTGCGTGCGTGTGTGTCTTTCTCTCCCACTCAAGCTCAAGCGATATTGATGATGCTCGGCATTGTCGCCGCGATAACACAAATGCAGTTTCAGGAGAAGCCACAGCCGATAGATCTACTCGGCACGCCGTTATCTATTCCAGGATCTGCACTACAGTAGATCTGGGAAACATTTCGAAATCAGCTTCCAGCACTAAAAACACCTCGAGCTCACGCAGCGCGAGTACTCACTGCATGACAGCAAGCTAGCTAACAAGATAGAGCATCGCAAGCAGCTAATGGATCTACTGAGTACTATTGGCAGTATTGCAGCAGCGTCGCCAAACGTGTCACAAACCACACCAGCCATCACAGTAACTCGCACACAACGACAACTAACAACAGACTGCAAAACACAGTGCCTGTGCCAGGAACATCTCAATCACAAAACCAAAACGCCCAATGAAACGCTACGACATCGGACTGTATAAACGAGTGTTTGTCTTCCCTTCCCCAGTGCTGCAGCACAACTACAACACGATTTCGAGCCACATGGCCTTACCAGTCGAGTCGTCAATCAGTTATCACTAGCACTACAATCAGAAGTCAACTCAAGTCAAGTGCTATGCTCTCAACGAAGACAAGAGTAAAGTTTCACAGAGGCACCCCGACACACGCATTCACCCCATATTCAGACGTGTACGCGTGTACCCGCGTACACGCAAAAGTCACAACAATTATCTTTCGCTGCTCCGCGAGGTTGTCAGAGAAGTGCCACAAGAGCTCGCGAAATGCACTTGACAGGACAACTGAAAAGCTACAGAAATACACAAACCCACCCGCATTCGAACATTGTGAGGCCTAGGTGAAAGCACCCACCTTTCTCTCCAAGAAGATGAGCGCTTGCTGCCGTAGCTGGCTAAGTTCTTTGGTGGCAACAAGTTGTTGTTCACGAAAGAGGCCACACTGGAACGTCACGGAAATGCCGTCGTGACTCTCCATCGCGCAGACGACTTGAGGGCAGTTGGAACAGAACTGATTGCTTTCTGCGAGTTCCTCTGAGGGTGGCTCCTTTCTTGACCGCTGCTCCTCCTAGGCTGGCTGCGGAGTAAGCACTGGTACGCGGAGGACTGCAACTCCCTCCTCCTGGACCTGGACTACGAGAGCACCACCAGCTTCCAGTGGCCGTCGCTCGAAAACTGATCACCACTCTGCTGGCCACTCAAGTAGACGCAACCATCAGTTTGTCACTTGAACAGTCAGTACCGAAGACCCATTCGACGTTTTTTTCTGGTAAAGTTAGCGGGGGTCTCATGATTGTCGTTAGCAGCGAGGATGCGCACCAGAAAGTGCAGGCTCCCTACTGCCATGCATGCAGCCAGTGCAGAACGGCGGCCGTTCCGCTCATATCACAAGTGCTTCGCGATCCTCTGCCTGTGCTGTTCAGATCCGCTACACTCACTGCGATACATGTGTGCGCGAAATGCCGACGAATGATGTCTGCCGAATTCGCGAAGTCCCCTTCGATCCTTCATGCAGTGATCCAGTTTGTCAACGCCGCGCGTGCAATACATGGTTTATTCGCAGACACACCGTCACAGTCAGTGTATCCCGCAGCGCTGCGGTGACCCGACACACGAGACTCGACTGAAGTCTGAAGCCGTGAAGGACTCATGCCTCATGGCAACAGACTCACAGTGTTAGAACACACTTAGATCAGAAATGACAGAAGTAGAACACCAAGTCACCATGCTGACCGTGCCAGTTGCCGCAAGACCAAACCTAGCACTCAATCTAAATCCGCCGGACTAATGTCGTAACCAAAAAGCGAAATGATGTGGCCACGCGGGTGGAGCAGCTGTTCAACGACGTAGCTTCATTGCCTGACATCGATTCTAGCCTTTCCTCACGAGTGGTACAGTGTATCAAAGAGAAAGAGAGCTCATCGAGGGAGTTGACATCTAACTTTTGTAGTACAATCACAATCAGACAAAATCTCGCACTCAACTAACTTCACAAGATGTCGATACATCCACCACAATGTCCATTACAATGTGTCATATCATCAACAAGAGTATATAAAGCCGTTTTATATGTACTCTTGATCATAATTATTATTATACATGTAGCACTTTCTACACAAGAGAGAGAGAGAAAGAGAGAGAAATGGGGAAGAACTTGTGTTGCAACTCCGAGTTTCATCATCTAATCAGGGAAAACTGTTACTCAATGATTATGTGCATGTGGCGGTCTGAGATTGGCGCTGCCTTTCTACGTTTAGTTGAGTTGGTCGGATTTCTTTGTTTGGGCACGTCTGACTTCTGAGCAATCCAGAAATCTAGGAAGTTATAGGAAGTGATAGTACAGACTACAGCTGTATCGTGGCCTGATGATGACAATTGACATGTCGACAGGATACCAGGATCATGCAGGACTCTTACATACTCCTTACTAGTAACAGTTTTGCTTGTTGACAATCAAAAGCGCGTGCATGCAGAACGCACGGCGGCAGACTCGTACACGCTGGAAAAGGTGGGCGGGCAGAACCCACGCAAGGCGCGTCAGCGAAACCGACAAGCAAAGTCAGTGTGATGTTGACAAGTCGACTAGTCACGGGGAGGCGAGAAAACACTTCCAGTGGCAGTGCCCGTAGTGCAAGTGTGGTGAGCCAAACAGGCAACACCTGAGCACTAGCCACAAAATGCGTACCCTGCTTCGCTGGAGACCTATTTTTATTTAGGCTATTTTTAATACCATGCTTACTTTAATATTAGTTATCAGTATTACCTACATGTACATACATGTAGTCTGTGGAGTTGTGAAGAACACGCGATGTGCCTGTTCACTTCTCACCTCACCCTCGCCACTAGTAGTAGTGGGCGATGCATCATGTGCCACACCGGTACTCAGGAGTGGTACCGGTGGTGGCCTGGCACGAGCGAAACCTCTCAAAAGCTGGTTGTGTTTCTCAACGCAGTCGGTGGTAACGCGAGCCCTTGGCAGATAGATAATGCCGGCGGAAAAAAATTGGCAGCGTTTGGCACTTTTTCTGGTATGTGTTATGCATGTTTGGTATGTGGATAAAGAGAGCAGAATTCAAAGAAATGTCTGTCATAAGGTTTGTAATCTTTGTATGGTTCTGTCAATTGCACTGCTTTTCGAGCAGAATCTGCCCATTTTTGGAGCATTATCCGCCAAGGCTAGATAACGAGGATGGACGAAATTTACTTGCGCCGGCAAAGATATTCCATTGCCATTGACCTCTTTCTCTTCCAAAGGTTCCTTTGTTTCCTTTTTCATACCGTTGCTTTCAGTCGGCGAAGTGCTCCGTCCTTTCTGTCGGGCAGTGGTGTCTGTTATGTACATGTACATTGTACATAACATACACCACTGCCCGACAGAAAGGACGGAGCACTTCGCCGAAGAGAAAGAGGTCAATGGCAATGGAATATCTTTGCCGGCGCAAGTAAATTTCGTCCACCCTCGTTATCTAGCCTTGGCGGATAATGCTCCAAAAATGGGCAGATTCTGCTCGAAAAGCAGTGCAATTGACAGAACCATACAAAGATTACAAACCTTATGACAGTCTGACAGACATTTGCTGTGACTCCGATGCAGCTCTGTGTAGGCCTTGACGGATTATGCTAGCATAATTTTTCGCATAATTCCTACCAAAATCGAATAATCGCATAATTCGAGGCAAATTGCACACGAATCGCATAAATTGGAATAATCCGCCTGTTCGCATCAAATTCCATACAGTCATGTTCTTACTTACAGTACAAGTACAAGTTGATGCACCAGGAAGTCGTAGGTTTACGACTCCCTTGATAACAATCAGTGACGGTCGTAGCTAGGTCGAACGGTGCGTTGACCCCGTTGAACTTTTGCTACTACACGTCTACAGTACAGCGCCCTCTACAAAAAAATCCCCTGTTATTTTGCACAGAATCATCATATACATTAGCAGCATATGTGAGCATAATGCGGCATAATACGATAACTTTTAGCATAAAAATAGCATAATTCTGCAATTTTTCAGCAATGCGAAAAGCATAATTTCACGAAAATATTAGTGTAGTGTCTGCCAACCTGTTCGTGTCTGAAGCACTTTGGACTTATACAGAAAGTGTAACAGGCTGACAGCACTAGCCGGAGGAACTTGCAAGCTCTGAGGCTTCACAACTCTTTACTCTCGAAATCAATTCCACAAAGAACTGAGAAGAATCAGCGGGTTATATAGGCCAGGGAGAGAGAGCAGCTGGGAGTGAGGGCAAAAGAAAGCAGGAGGACAACGGGACTCGAAACAGTGTGGGAGGATGAATGGACCTAAGTGGCGAGCAAGGTTTATGCAACAGGAATGCAATCTAAAAGTATGGAGGAAACTAATGTGAATGGCAGGCAGGGTAAGGGGGCATAACGATTACTAGGAAGACAACTGTTGGAAGATCTAAGGAAAAGGCATTTGAATGTGTGTGAGCTAGGGCTGATCAATAACATGGGTTCGGGGAAGAAAGCTGTTGGATGGGAAGGCATCTCGCAAGTGATCAAAAGGGGTCAGTGAGGGGGGACAGACTACACAGGAATCAATGTAATGCATATTTACAGCATGAATGCAACAGGTCAGGCCGTACCGGTCTGCAGGCAGGGTTGTCTAGTAGTCCTACTTCAAAGTAAGTGTTTGCGCGTGAGAAGTACTTAGCATGTACATGTGAACTACAAGTGGCTAGTAATACCAGGAGGTTGTGTGATGACTGTTCAGTGATACTGATAGAGCTAGAGATACTACACTCGCCCCTCCTCCGTTGAGACACGTCCTCGTGTCTACGGGACGGGTGTTCGTGAAAAGACAGACACATGCATCTAGAATGTGTGAAGGATTTGTCTCTCTTGTGGAGCGGGAAAATGTACATGTATGTGTTCGCGTCTCAATACATGTATTGGACGGTAAAGGGGATGCGTTCCATCGCGTCACTCATTGTGGACGGTAATAATTCTTGACTCTCGTCTCTCTGGGACGGTTCAACCGAAAAGGACTCGCTCACCATGTGGCGGTTTAATCATTGTTACTTGCACTGGTTATTGGAGTGCGTGCTTGCGGGATATACTGTATTTGGGGTCTGAAACGGATTGCTTGGTCGGAACGGGGTGGACATGATCGGGATGGGTAACGAAAAGGCTAGGACACTTTGTAGTCAGACCGGGGAGAAAGCGGTTGTAGGGGAGTGTCAGTGGGACGGAATGTTGGGCGATCTAAAACTGGGTAACGCATGTATCTGGACGGACATGAAGGTATATGGAGGGTTGTGAGTCCTAGGCTGTTGATCGAAAGGTGGGGCGGGGATTGGGAGTGGGATTGTCTGTGGGATGGAGTGGCTGAAGGAACGTGGAGGGCCTTGTGTATAGCGTGTAGTGTAGCAAACAAACTAAATGTGAGAGATGTTAGCAGGGGAACAACTTTGGCAGCAGAACGAGTTAGTGATAGGGATAGGGCCGCAAGGAGCGAGGCGAGGAGCATAAGAACAGAATGAAAACTACTGCTGGATGGGGGAGTTTGCGTAATACGCGGCGTAGCTTGCACGATAGGGGTGGCATGTGTACTAGTAACAGTTGCATTTGAACGGGTTGATGATTGAGTAGGGAGACAGCAATAAGGGTGACATACCTGGGTTGAAGGGAAGATGTGCCGTGTATCGCGACGACGATAGCAATACGCAATGGCATGGCCAATCTGCTTGCAGTATCGGCAATATGGGCGAAGACGAAAGGGCCGACGTCGCTTGGGTCGTACATATACCGGTGGCTGTAGTCCAGGGACATACCGGAGGGCATGGGAACTCGCTGAAGAATGATGGTGATCCATTTTGACGAAATGCGTACGTGACAGCGTCGATCTGCTGTATGGATGGACTGACGAACCGGGATTCTGCATCGTTCTCAGGTCGTCATGGGTTCAGAAACGAGGAGCAGCCGGGGCAGGAGCAGCAGGGGCAGCCTGAGCGGGTTGTTGTTGTTGCTGAGCCATACTAATGATACACGAGAACTACGTAATGGATGAGAGGTCAGGAAACAAAGGAAAGGACGGGGACTACGAAACACAGAGAATATAACAAAGCACGTAAGGTACGAATCACTTCTGACACCAATGTAGTGGCTGTGAACTACACTATCCCACTTCTGACACCAATGTAGTGTCTGCCAACCTGTTCGTGTCTGAAGCACTTTGGACTTATACAGAAAGTGTAACAGGCTGACAGCACTAGCCGGAGGAACTTGCAAGCTCTGAGGCTTCACAACTCTTTACTCTCGAAATCAATTCCACAAAGAACTGAGAAGAATCAGCGGGTTATATAGGCCAGGGAGAGAGAGCAGCTGGGAGTGAGGGCAAAAGAAAGCAGGAGGACAAC